GATTAAAGCATTTTGATACATACAGAGGTGTATGTATACACATAACTATGTATACACATAACTGAGTTCACAATCCCATACCCGACTCCATCAGCATCTTCATAAAAGAACTGCAATCAGCTTGACCCGCAATTTTCATTGACCGCCATCTCAACACACGAACTGTGAAGCAACGCAACCCGACAACCCCGGCGTCCTCGGCCGACTTCATAAGCGACCATCAGCTTCCTGCATGTACAGTAGAGATCGATTTGCAATCAGCCACAGCACTGTGATCCACTCTGATACATAAATATAATAGTCCATAGATATATTTACGGCCAACCAGTCCCAAGGGATCCCTTCCCAAAACGACCATCCCTTGCCGGGCCAACACCCACAACACCCTAAGGCATGGCCCCGGGGTTCGGGACGGGGTTTGAGGCCAATCCCGAGGGACGAACCCCGGGGTTCAGGGCTCGAACCCCGGAACCCCGGGGTCCTGATCATTTTTTTCCAGGTGCGGTGTTGATCCTCTTTGACGGGTCAACCAGCCAAGGAAAAACAATTCTTGTCTGATTAGTGCAGTCTGTGGCCTCCCCAGCTGGTTACAGACTCACTTACCGGTTGAAGAGGATCTTCCAGAATCCATCTTGGCCAGTAGGTGAGTCGGCACCAACAAGCCGAGAAGTGCCTCTCCTTGGCTGTTTGGTACACGCTGTACCAACCAGCCAGGGAGGAAAGCACTGTTCCGGTTGGCTGTACCAACCAGTCAAGATCAAGAAAGCTCCTGCTTGGCTGGTCAGTAGCCGAGCAACTCCCAAACCTATAAGCCGACTCCCAAAGAATAAAAAGGGAAATAAATGGGCTGGAGGGCCCAGTCTGCCATAGAATGAGGGAATAATTGGCTTCCAACTCCAACGACCATCTACAGATGGCCCTTGGTGGTTGTCAGCTAGGAAAAGTGAGTTGTTCGTTAAGCCGATAAACTGTTTCCCTATGATATTTCAAAACCCCGGGGTTCCGGGGTTCTGCATAGCGCCATCCTGAGTCCTGAACCCCGGGGTTTGGATTCGGGCAAAACCCTGAACCCCGTGGGTCGGGGTCATGCCTTACAACACCCCGGCTGAAACTATGCACTTTGTTCTCCTCAAATCCACTCTTCAACTCTCTTGGCCTTGTTTGTCCAATATGCTTGCAATATGTAGACCTCATCAAATCCTTAACTCAAACTCTAGGTTTGATGAGTCCAGGCTGCACAGACCACACAGCCTGGAAATCATCCTCAATGTTGCTGGTTGGGGGGGGGGGCCAAATCTTTCAAGGTGGTGGAGAGATACATACAACAGGTTGTTGTTTGTTCACTTCAATCATGTGTGAGTGAAAATATGCTCCCAAACACATCCATGAGGCCCCATCATTGACTCACAAACTTGGGAGGTTTGATTCCCAAAGATGGGAGACATTGAGAGTACTACAGCCAATCCAGAAAAGGATGGCATTCCCTCCTCAAATGCACTAGCTTGCTTGTGTGCAGATACTACGACTTCATGAGCCAGTAAGGTTTTGGTTTGAGCTAGAAGCTCTTATTCTCCTTCAATCCAGCAGGGCACTTAACCTTACCCAGATCACGAATAGGATGGATCTGCACAAGCGAGCTGGTGCTTTTGAGGAGAAGATGCCATCCTTTTCTGGATTGGCTGTACCATGTGGGGACTATCTCCGGGCAAGTCCCGCCCGGAGTTTGGAGTTTGGTATAGCACCAAAAAAAAAATGCTCTTCAAAAGTACTTGGTTTCTGGTAAGCTTCCACTCCGAACCCCAAAGATCTGGCAACACCCAATGGGGTACAGTGGGTAGACAGTGAAAAGTGACTGCTTATTTTGGATTCCAGAGCTCTGAAACACAAACTTGAAGTCATGAGACTTGGTCAGGTGGTGCATAATAGCTCCCAAAGAATGAATATGAAATAATAAAAGCAAAAAATACAGTTTGAAAATTTGTGAAAAATAAAAAATAAACTCATTTTTTTTCAAAAGCTTTAATATTCATTTTGAGGGAGTGCAAGTGCTGAGAGAAAGAAAGAATGGAATGTGGGAAGAATGATTATAAATGAAAACAATTGGAACCAAAAAAGGTTTGGCCAGGTTGGTGGTCCAGATTGGAGCCAAAACAGTAAATTCTAGTGCTTTGCTGCAACGTGGGCTGGTGAATGCCCCACTCAACAGCTGTTTGAAGCCATCTGGAAACCAATTTTTGCAAAATTTTCATTTATAATCATTTTTCTAACATCCCAATCTTCCTTTCTCTCAGCACTCTCAATCCCCCAAAATGAATTTCAAAGCTTTTGAGAAAAATAAATTTTATTTTTTATTTTTCACAAATTTTGAAACTTTGTTTTTTGTTTTTATTTTTTCATATTCATTCTTTGGGATCTATTCTGCACCACTTCACCAATTCTTGTGACTTCAAGTTTGTGCTTTGAAGCTCTGGAATCCAAAACAAGCAGCCAAAAATAATGGTCCACCCACTGTACAGTGGGTGGACTGAAATTTTTGGCGCGGGGTAATGGGGGTAAAAAATCAGTGACATCCCAGGTGAACCTGGGGTGCACTGACTTGTCACACTTGGGGTGATTGGAGTGATCAACCAGGTCGACCACTCCAATCACCGAACCGAATCAAGCCACATATCGTTTTACCATCTTTTTGCAGCCTCGGGACAGAACGAAAAGTCTTACTGATCATTGTAAGTCCCTTTTTTTTCTTAAACAAATTCAAACTGACCTTTTTTTCTATTTTGTTGTGTTTTTTTTTCAGATGGTTCGCAACAGAAATGCCAAGCCTCATCTCTCAACGGAGCAGAAGGCCAAAATCGTTGGCATGTCGGACGCTGGGATGACGCCGACGGCCATTGGATCTCAGCTTGGGATCGGCCGCACAACAATCTCGGCAATCATCACTCGATCGGCCAAGCGCGGTACTGTTGTGACAGCCTCCAGAAGCGGACGACCGCGCATGACCAATGACCGGGACCTTCGCGAGCTGGAGAAGGTCCTCAACGACAATCCCCGAATGAAGATGGCCGAGGTCAAAGACATCCTGACCACGCCGATTTCAACCAAAACCGCCCGCCGCCGAGCCCACGACATGGGCTTCAATAACCGGGTTGCGGTGAGGAAGCCGTTCCTGAACGAGACCCACCGCAGATGCCGACTTCAATTTGCGAAGCGACACAAAGACTGGACTCCAGACGACTGGCGAATGGTCCTCTGGACGGACGAGTCGTCATTTGAGATTGGAAAATCTTCGAAACAGGTCATCGTTTGGCGCAAGCGGGGTGACAAACACGACCCCAAGAACCTCGTACCCACCTTCAAGAGCGGCAGGACCTCGACCATGTTCTGGGGGGCCTTTTTCAGCAAAACCAAGGCCCCTCTTGCCATCATCCCTCCCGGCCAACGAAAAGCCGAAAACTTCGTCAAAAACATTTACGAAAAGCATCTCATCCCATTCCTCGAGGATGCCGACCCCGACCAACGCATCAGCTTGATGGAGGACAACGCCCCTGTCCATACTGCCCGTGTCAGCCGCGAATTCCTGGACTCTTACAACATCAACAAGATCGACTGGCCGGCTCAATCCCCCGACTTAAACCCAATCGAGAACGTCTGGCTTGTCCTCAAGCGCAATGTTCAAGATTTGTATCATCCGCGATCGGTCCCCGAAATGCACGAGGCTCTCACTCAGGCTTGGGCCGACTTCCCAAGCCACATCCTCGAAAACCTAATCAATTCAATGCCAGAGAGGATGGCAGAGGTTATCAAGGCTGAGGGGGGTTCAGTAAGATGGTAATTTTTCAGTTCATTCCTATAAAAAAGCAAGAATAAAAATAAAAATTATAAAAATAAATATAAAAAATAAAATAAAAAATATTTTTCAGGTTTTTTTCTTATAATCATTCTTCCCAGACTCCTCTCCATCCCCCCTTCCAGCTCCCTTATTTTTAAGAAGATTACTTTTGTAGATAGAAAATAGTCAAAAAACAAAATAATTTTTATCTTTCTTTTTGTGTGTTGAGTAATTAAAAGAAGTATCCTATCATTCTTGTGAGCCCCCAGAGCCCCTGTGACCAAAAATTTGGAACCTCAAAAAGCCATCTTGGCCCTTAAAAATAAATAAAATGGGCGCCAAAAATTTCAGTCCACCCACTGTACATGGTTTCTGGTCAGCTTCCACTCCACACCCCAAAGATCTGGCAACACCCAATGGGGTACCGGGTTGGGTTGGGCCCCCGATGCTTGCAGGAAATACCCGGTGTCTGATCGGATCATTTTATGTGTCCAAGATCATAGCCCTTGATGGCAGAAATCTGGGATTTCTTTCGTGGGTTTGGACTTTTCAACTCTCTCTCTCTCTCTGTGTGTGTGTTTAATCCTTTTGAAATCCAAACACTCGTGAGCATATTCACTCTCTTTAGATCCAAACAAGCTCACAAAAAAATAAGAACCCTCTTTTGTATGTGTGTGTGTATTTGTGTGTGTGTATTTGAATACAAAGAAAAGCGATATAGTATAGTTGTCTAGTGATTATTGGATGATCATGAGAGATGTCACAGGGAAGATGAGAGATCACAACCAGAGTTGGTTTTGAAACCCACTTTTGGTGTGTTGTTAGAACCAAAGTGGGTCAGAGGAGGAGGAAGTTATCTGTAAACGTGATCGGCATGAAGGTTGGCCGCACTACATCCATCCATCCAAAAAAACAGGGAGTCAATTTTCTGCTACTCTGATCTCTCAAGAAAGTCCTGAAAAGGAGGAAGAGAAGACAGACATTTCAGATTCCATTCGATCCCCATTCGCCAAGAGTTTCTCCTTATTATAGAGCAATTCCTCGCGCGTTTCCGTCGAATATTCGGTGTTTTGACTTTCCACAATCGCATCCACCGGACAGGCTTCTTGACAAAATCCGCAATAGATACATTTAGTCATATCTAATACACAACAATCCAAAAAAAAAAAAAAAAAACAATCAGTCTGCGATGATGATCATCATTATCACCTCGAAGAAACGGGAAGAAAAAGAGTGGAAGACAGACCGATATCATATCGAGTCGTCCTTCGAGACCCGTCCTCTCTAGTCTCGCTCTCGATCGTGATCGCTTGTGCCGGACAAATCGCCTCGCAAAGCTTACACGCTAATCCCCCCCCCACCAAAAAAAAACCCGCTCAACACTTTTTTGTATGTGAAAAAAAAGATGTGGGAGAAAGAGAGGACGGACCTATGCAGCGTTCCTCCCCACTCGCATATCGGCGTAACGCATGTTCGCCTCGGAACCGCGGCGACACTGGGCCCTTCTCAAACGGACTACCCACACACAGATCCATGAATACGAGTGTTTGCCACAGATAAGGAGTCTGAGAAGGAAGAGATCGTGGTGATGATGGTGGGACTCAACTACATGATCGTGTAAGGGGGCCGAAACATCTGTCCCAAGACGACCCACATTCCTTGAAAAAAATAAATAAGAAACCTTCAATAAATGAAGCGCAAGAGAAGAGCGCAAGAGACAGAGAGAAGAGAAGAGCACACCTCTAGCGATCTCAGTCAAGAAGAAGAGTTTAGCAGCCTTATCAAGCGCACTAGGACCATTAGAGTAATCCTTGTAGACGATGGGCTTATAATCGGGATCCTTATAATTGAACTCGGGTGGTTCGACCTGATCCTTAGAGGAAGAAGGGGCGCCGAAGTGGAAGGGTGGTAGGTCAGGAGTTTGGGTGGGTGCGGGGATCGGGTCGATCTCTTTGACCGGCGCCTGGTGGGCTAGTTGGTTCCGTGGACTGCTCCTGAATGCCCGGCTGTTGTTGAGTCTTAGACTCGATGTCTTCGTTGCCGTTGTAGTGGTGGTAGTGGTCCATCTCTTGGCGGTGAGTGATAGCATCGTTTTTTGTTTCTTGGGTTTGCTGTTGGGTTTGTTGGTGGTTTGTTGGTTGTTGGTGTGAAGTGTGGGTGATGACGGGTGTTGGTGTTTCCGACCAATGGAAAGGAGGATAAACGAGGTGGAGTGGAGTGGGGGGTGTGGATACTCTCCAACTGGAGTCTGGAGAGAAGTGATCTCACTCCACTCAAGACTCCCAAGCTACACAGCAAAGACTAGGATGGACGACTATCTCAACCAATCAGCACTCCTAAGATCCTATGCAGCACTCACACCCAACAACCCAAGAGAAATCCAGACACCTCCATTCCCAACATCCACCTGGCTCAGCAAACACCCAAACCAACTCAAACTATTCAACTTATTGGTCTCCAAACAAGATCATCATCAACAAGGATTCAATCGAAACATTGCGAATGGAAGACAGTGGAAATTGATGTTCTGGAAAAGAGTCATCCTCGAAATCGAAAACGGATTCAATAACATAAGCGATCCAAAAATTAAAGAGGTACCTTACATATTTTAATCTCCTCCTTAAGAATACAACATATTTCAGAAAGGAAAAAAAAAATAGATGTATACTTCTTTTTTTTATTTATCAACAATCAATCAAAAATAAAAGGAAGAAGAGATCGAAGAGAAGATTTTAACCTATTACATCTCACTCCAACAATCACCACAACCACACCAAAATCAAACAGAAGGAAGAGGCCATGAAGACGAAGAAACATTATCACCTCTGGATCAGACGGAGATCCATACCTATTACTACGGCGACCTGAGCGACAGGGACCGCTGGACACGAATCGATTTGCACGAAAACAAGGTGAGTTTTTTTTTGTATTTATGTAGGAGCAGCATACAAAGATAGACAAAAGTTTACATCAAGAGAGAAAGACTTAAATAAAATATCTTGAATGATTAAACTTAGGCGTCGATCAGTCAAGGGACCACAGGCCTGCGAAGCTGGGGCGCAAGGCAAGCCAGCCCATGATACCAGAGCCGAGACCTTGTCACTAATCGTAGATCTGAAAAAAAAAAAGTGTTTGTCTAGCCAACTACATGATACTGCACCCAGATCTACTGGCGGATTCGACGAAGGTGCTAGAGCTCGGCAGTGGGACGGGGCTGTTAGGGCTGCTAGTCCACACCCTCAGTCCGTCCACGCACGTCTATCTCAGCGACTCCAACCCGGCCGTCTTGGCCCGTCTCCAGCTCAACATCAACTTAAGTCCGTTCAACTCTCTCCCTTTGCTTTAAGATCTCTCTCTCTCTTTCTTGAATGAAGATTGAATTGGACCCGGTCTTGAACAGACTCGCTGGGGGATCGGGATACCCTGAAGCTGGTCGAGCTCGATTGGAACGCGGATCGGTCTGCGCTGCCGGCCCCGATCGACTTGGACACATCCTCGATCATCCTCGGCGCCGATGTAGTTGCGTCCTTCTTCTCTCTATCTTATATCTTACGCTTCCCCCCCGAAAGAAGAAGCACTGAGCCGAGAGATGTGGTTGTATGTAGATCTATGATCCCGACCTCGTCCCCGGATTAGTCCGAACTATCAAGCTCGGCCTCTTATCAAGTCATCCTTCATCATCACCAGCAAGCACTGCTGCTGCTGCTGCTGCTAAGAGCACCGAAGCCGAGGCTACGAGGTCGTATGGGATGATATGTGGCCTGGTCAGAGCCCCATCAACTTGGCAGAAATTCATAGACACGTGTCGTAAGTCTTATCCATTCTTCCACCTACAATATAAAAAAGATTTTATCCAGCAGATTTTCTGAAAAGTGATTTTTTTTTGTTGGTGGTGGAATGTGATGGGATGGGAGGGCAGAACTGGAAGGATTGGAGGTTGAAGAGGTGGAGATAGACGAGGCCATCGAGATCGGGAGCGTTGAGGGACGGGGGATCGTGTTCCCACAAGCCCTGGATCGGGCGCTGTTGGACTTGCGCATGGTCCGATTGTCTATCCGGCCCTCTCTTTCTCCTCCTTCTTCATGAGGTTCCTCTGGCCTTAGACGGCTTGTTTTAGGTGATCTAGGATTGGTTTTCTCATGGCTCTTCTTTCGATCAAACACTCTGATAATATCAAGCCTCTTTCCTATCCAAACTGGATTTGAATCTTGGCCTTTTTTTCTCTTTGTAAAATGAGTGACCTTCTTCAATGATTTCAAGCAACGGTGAGCCGATAACAATAGGTGCATCACTAAAGTATTGCAAATCCGATAACTTTACGTGTATCTGCTACCCAATGCATGCAGACCAAATTCAATTCTCCTTTCATCGAGTTTTGAAGAACATGAAAGTGATCTTGCACACTGATTGTGCATCCTGGAATTCAACTTGCCAAACTTAGAAAGGATCCAGTTGCATCAAGAGTCCAAGAGAAAGAGCAAAGTAGGAAACAAGTAAATTCAGGAAATCCACATCGAGCGGTTATTCGTATGTTCCGACGAAAACTAAAGGCTAAGTTCGCACAGGGCTGGATTGCGGTGCAAATATGTTGATTACTGGAAGACACAATCTTGGCAACCTGGTTCGAGCAAGACAGAAAACTTAGTGAGAAATACGAGAGAATTTCTTTGACTTATATAGAATCCAAACTCACCAGGCCTCTGTTCCCGAGGGCTCAAGCATTCAAAAGCTTCTTCAGTTTTGCTTGCTCTATTATTTATAACCCTGAAACCGCTAACATCTGATTACCAAGTCAAGGATTGTGTGATTAGAAAAAGTGATTGATAAATTTTTTTCATTTTTCAAGTTTTCGAACTGAATTCAAGTGCGATATTGACTCACGAACGGTTGTCGGCGTGTAATCTACATACTGTTCTACCAGAACGACGAGGTTATATGATGCTGCATTGCTATACAGCACTTTACACTTATTAAAGTATAATGGAAGGACTGAAGTAGTGGATTGCGTCAGACGGGTGTTGGATGCAAGACCCTTCAAAGTCAAGGAAGTTGATTCTCACCTGGCCAATTTTGGAAGTGGCAAGATGGGAGCTCGCAAGTCCAATCTCCCTCTGGCCGAGTACAGACTATATTGGATAATGAGAGTTTTGTCAGTAACTATATCAACCAACAATAGGATTTCAGAACGGGTACTGGAGAGTCGGAGCTTACAGCCTTTGCCTTTGGGAACATAAAGGTTTTCGGTGTCTGTTGAAAAACTTAGACACCTAAGAGTCGCGGTGGAGTGTGTACCACGCGGTGGGCCTGGTACCACTGTCCCACCACCGATAGGAGGGGGACCATCCAACCGAACGGAGGGTAAACTAATCATTACCAAAACTATATGACTAATCCATGTGATCCAGTTCACGGAAGATAGCAGCATTGTCGGTTTCAGTTGGGGGTCAAAAAGCAAAATAGGTAGAGCTGGTTCCGGATGGCAAAGTTTCTGGGGGATGGCAAAGTTTCTGGGGGATGGCAAAGTTTCTGGGGGATGGCAAAGTTTCTGGGCGTCCGTTAGCAAAGCCAGCGGCCAGATCAGCAGCCAAAGCAAGGGTCTACTTATAATGTATCCAGAATCCAGAGGCTCAAATACAATACAGCCCGGCACCGCATTTCTAGCTTTCATCAGGTTGTGTGTCGAGCCACACTAAGCCACTCCTACGTAAATCTATAGTTTTACAACCTGAGATGACGCGTCCAGCCATGCCCGGCCCCAACGCCGGCTCTGAGGTTCAGCCTTCCGCCACTCTGACTGTTATAAAAATATACACATTCTGCTTTGTGTGTTGTATGCGGCTATGTCTATGGTAACCTTCAAGCCTGAGATTGGATTGAATTCAGCGGGCCGAAATCATTCTACATAGCACTACGGCTCCGGGATGGCTTTTGGCCGTCGGTATGTACTGCACGGGCACCCGCACCTGCGTCGGCTTGGAATGGGAAACGACAGAGTAAGGCCGTTGTCACAACAGCACTGCGCTGAGGCGTTGTATGCATATCATACTGGCGCTAGCTAGCAAGCAAAGCCTCCTGGAGCCTGGAGGAATAAACCTGGATGCAAACTTGAAAAGTAAGAATTTTGGTTTGGGCAGAAAGTGAGAGAGGGTGTTTTTTCTCACCGACACATGGTTTGACATTGTTGCCTTTGGCATACAGATGAAGGGGTTACTCGGTTATTAACCTTTTGGGATGCCATGAAGGGGTTACTCGGTTATTAATCTTTTGGGATACCGGTTTCCCTCTCAAGACCCGAGGGCTGCACAATCTCTTAAGAATTTCGTAAAGAACTGATTTCAAAAGAACAGGAAATGGTGTGATCTTAAAACCACACATGTGATCAGGAATTGACCTTGAGCATCTGAGGATCCGTTCCAACATGTTGGCTGATGTCATGCTGCAGTGGAAAAGGCAAGAAAAGGAGACAACCAAGTCTATGGAAGATTCAACACCCATTCACTTCACATCACAGGAAGATACCAAAACTTCTGAGTATTTTTTTTCAGGGGTCAACTTCAAGAGTGTCCCAGTCAAAAATCAAAATTACAAAAAATCCAAGCTGAAAAGCCTTATTTTGAGAAAAAAGGAAAGAACCCTGGTCATTCAAAAATAGATCCTTTTGATATCTAAATGAAATTTCAAATCTTGGAACTCAGTAGGGCTTTCTCAGGCATTTGTAGTCTATTTCCTCTAGAGGTTGAATGAATGTCTCTGGAATGAACCCAAAAGCACATTCCCATGTGAAAATATTCATCAAGTGAGTCTTCACTTGCTTGAAAGACTACTAGCATCCCCACTGAGGAGCTGATTTTTTATTCAGAAAAACACAATATGCCCAGCTGAATTTTTTTTTCTGGACAAAATAATGGTCAAAAGCGATGCAGAAATAATGATCAATGCATCCAAAATTGTGGTCAAAAAGGGCCTCTGCTTGGGATTGTTGGTTCTGTGGCAGTGGAATTCATTTGATGAATGGCTAGATTGTTGGCTGCATTAATTCAACATAGGTTAGCTATCCATCAATATACTTTGCCTCTTACAGAGGGAATGACTTCCTTGTTGCTCTTTTGGCTGATGCAAGTAAATAGGAATGGTGTGGTGACTTGCGTGGAGATGGATCTGAAGTATTTCAACTGAGCCAGAGAAGTTTTTATTGGACTGATGATTCTGCTTGAAAACACCTTATCAGCTGGAGGGATTTCCTTCCAGATGACAAGGTATAAGTAAGGCATTGGAGATATCATCAGGTACCTGCTTCTGGGTACCCAGCACCTGTTTGCAGGTACCTATTTTCCACAGCCTTACACCCACCCTGGGTCCCTGATAATGTATCATAACTCATAAGTGTCCTGCTCACCTGAGAATTTTTATCAACATTGATTGACTTCTGATGTATTTTAAAGAGGAGAGAAAACAAGACAAGTGTTTGATCATTGGTCCGCAAACAATCGCTTTTATGAAAAAAAAAGTGTCCACAATATTGGATTTTTGAGCTGGGTACCCGGGTATGAAGTGACATCTCTAGTATTGTATTTTTGACCAGATACAAAAATTTTGATACAACACAGATGCAATCTATTTGGCAAAAAACAGATAAAAATATTAATAAATACATATACATGTATTGTATTGATTTCACTGTTGCTGTGAAGAGCGCTCTGTGTGGGTTCCCCTGGAACCTCCATTTGAGTGGCTTTGTTGAGCTAGGGTTTTATTTGGGTCTAGAAAACCTCAGACATAAATCATAGAGATCGTTCGTTCGTACTCGGGTACCTGTTGGTACCTAGGTACCTGTTGAATTTTTTCAAAAAATAGGTACCAAGTACCGCACCAGGCACCTCCCGGCGGGTACCGGCGGTACTTTTGGCGGGTACCGCGGGTACCTCCCCTCTCTTTCTAACCTAGGTTCACTTTCAGATTACCAAGTCACTTTTTTATTATCATTTTTTTTCATATTTATTTTAAAATATCAGTCCCAAGTCACTTTTTTCCATTCTTTCATATTTATTGTGAAATGTTGACAAAAAATTGGAAGAATCCTACTTTGTTATTATATTTTCATATTTATTGAAAATATCATTCCCAAGTCACTGTTTTTCCTTTTGTCATATTTGTTGTAAGACATCTTAAACTAATTGCAAGAACCTTACTTCATTATTATTATTATTTTCATATTTATTTTAAAATATTACTCAAGTCACTTTTCTGGCATTTTTTTCATATTTGTTGTCAAGTATCTACATCTAACGGGAAGAATCTTGCCTTTTTTCATATTTATTGTAAAACATCAATCCCAAGTCAATTTTTTCATGCGTTCACATTTAATAATTTATTTTAAAGCTTAAACTGTCTACAAATTATATCTAATTAGATTATTAGAAGAATCTTCATTGTTGTCCAAAACTATCACCTTCCTTTTTGATTTTTGGTTAGACTTCTTGTTATCCTTGAGTCCCTGTTTCCATGTAGCCAAGGTACCTTCTTGGAGTTCTTGGAGTAGAAGGCCACCATCATTTTGGTAGGGAAGTGAGGGGGTACCTGTAGCGGTACCTAGGTACCTGCTCAATTTTTCACAAAAATAGGTACCAAGTACCGCACCTGGCACCTCCCGACGGGTGCGGGGCGGGTGTGAAGGGTACCCCCCAAGCGGTACTAGGTACCTAGCAAAGGGTACCGCGGAACGATCTCTAATAAATCAAGTACCTCTTCCTAATTTTCCTGGTGTGTTGCCAGCACTTGATTGATTTGAAAGAGACCTGTTGAAAATCTGGCCCAGAACAGCTATATTCTTACCTCTCCAGTCCATAAAAAATCCTTAAAATGATTTCTGCCCTACAGTATCCCACCCTTTGCTTCTCCCTTCCCTGAGCCTACCCAGCAACCAGAGGCTTGGCTTCAAACAGCCTGGCGCCAACTGACCAAGTGTGGCATGAGGTGTGGGTTGCGTTCAGGGTGGATTGGGCGTGAACTTTCCCTCCCCCCCCTCCTGGTTCCAAAACTCAACTCAGATTCCTCATTGCTTCATTCACATGGATTGTAGCTTTTAAGTTTGGGCTTGGCCTTGGGTCAAGCTACACATATGTCAATGACAAAACCGGCAAAAATCAAGTCTATGAATACCAATATGGGACTTGCCTGGATTTACTGAAACAATTTTTTTTTTTTTGAATTGGCCCAAGCTTTGTTGAAAAAACAATATATGGGCTAGGACATATGTCTCAAAACCTGATGGAAACACTAAATGAATAACCTGGGTTTATTTAAGGAGGTGTTCACTTGAATCTGACATGCTTTTTTCCCATCAATTTGTATGACTTTTCAATAAAGTTGATCTCGAGTTGGTCCAGGATGTCAACTGGCTTCATTTGAGAAAGGCTTTGTTGATGTTTGAAAGATAGGGCAGGTGAGCGGGCAGGTGAGCGGGCAGGTGAGCATTGTTAAGTGGCAGAAGGCTGAAGCCGTGAGGCTACATATACACATCTGAGATTAAGAGCATCTCTCGAAGAGTAGGGGTGGATCGGACTGATTTTTAGAAGGCTCATCCTCACCCCAACATTCACATGGACACCTGCAGTTTTATTCCAAGGCGCTTCATCCATATCAAAACAAAACAAAATTCAAGAATGGTCCAAGCTTTATGAAATTAGACAATGTATCCTTGTATATGCTAAGACAGGTGAATGTCCCAAACCAATGGTCCATTGAAAAGGGATTTAGGGTTGTGTGTGTGTGTTAAGACAGGCTCTACTGGAAGACAAAGAGTGTTTGAGAGAAAGAGGGGGTGAGTTGTTCTGTGACAGTCCTGATGAGAGGAGTGAGATGTCACGGGTTTGTGACAGCAGCTAAACTCGACGGCACAATCCGATCCCGAGCAAACAGACAGGCACAAGCAAGCACACACACACACTTTACCACTTCGAAGGAGGATGTTCAGCCAAGCATTACTACGAAGCACCCGCCAGACCATCGCCACCAGTCGAGCCTGCAAGCCAACGACGACCAACAACAATGGCCTCCGAAAGGCGTTCTACTCCGACGACAAGTCTGCAGGACAGCAACTCAGTCCGGCCACCACGGAGAGACCCTCCGGGATCCAGCCGGCGAGCTCTTCCGACGACCCTCAGCTGATCCCTGCCGGCTTGACCAGTGGTGCTCCAGGTATAGACCTCATACATCATCAACAAATGAAGCTCTTTCTCTTGTTTATATGATCGACCAAAAAAAAAACGGATGTTAAAACTCGATTTTTTCGGGATTGACTGTGTAGAACAATTGGCTATCCGTCCCGTCCGCATCTATCGCCCATCGCCCACCACCATGCAATCGGCCAAGGCGAACAACCACACCTGGGTGCTCGATTGGGAGACCCTACAGGGCGCCGGACGATGGGAAAACCCGTTGATGGGCTGGGCCTCTACGTGCCTCCCCACCCTCTCTCTCTCTCTTTCTTTCCAACATTATATCTGTTTTCTTAACAAAAGCTCTCTTTTGTTTTTGCTTTTCGTAGGGCTGATTACATGCAAGGAACGAATCTCAAGTTCGACTCCTCCGAGGCCGCCGTCGCGTTCTGTGAAAAACAAGGTGCTTTTCTAAGTCTCTTGACTCACTCATCACTTGGCGAATACTCCTCTCTCACCTCGCTCCCATCCCCCTTCCCTCTTATAGGCTGGCCGTACTTCGTTCAAGCCCCTAAAGCGATCAAGTTCAAAGTCAAATCTTGTCAGTTTTGATCCCCCTTTTCTTTGATCCTTCGCTTTCTTCTTTCCCGCGATCATCATCATCATCATCATCATCATCATCATCATCATCATCATCATCATCATCATCATCATCATCATCATCATCATCATCATCATCATCATCATCATCATCATCATCGAAGATTGGATTGTATTAACATTTTGTTTGATCTCTCGCTCTTCTTTCCCTATCGAATCGCATCCAAAACAGATTCGGATAACTACCTCTATTCGGACTCCAAGCTCCGCATCCACAAGACTAAATAAAACCAGATCGGTCTTATCAAGTTTTTTTATGCTTGTCACTTGGAAGTAACAGATACTCTTCAATAAACAATAAGCCCCATCGGGATGTCTTTTTGAAGAAATCCAGACTGAACATAGAAAGATGTCTCCTCCATTGTTTTTTTTTTGTAATAACATCATGATTCAAAATGAAACAAAAATAATCATCAGCAAAAAAAACTACTCGAAGATCGGGCACGGATGCTTCTTGCAGTCTGGTCTGGCTACGGCCTTTTCTTGGCCACATTTTAGATAGTCAACAGATGTGTTCTCATAGTTCAGCGTATCTATGTATTCAACTAATTTGTCAGTCCCACAGAACGAATTGGAGCATATGTGTCATAATGATAAGATGAGTGAATTATGTACATTTACACAAGTCTAGAAAACGAAGAAAAGATGATAAAATAAAAAGGGAGACTGAATGATTACACGTCTTGATACCATGTGCCAAATTAGACTGAACGATGAAGAGAAAGGAAAAATGATTGAAGGTATATATTATGATTGTGTATGCACAACCGGGCCCGCCGCTTTTCCTGCTCTATGAACCACCACATCTCTCGATTACCGAAACCTGAGCAAAGGTGAAGCATCAGCACCTACGTGATTGACGAAAAAAAAAAAAGTTAAGGAGAAGAGCGAGACTGAACATTCTGATGTACGCCAAGAGCAGAGCGCCGCCAGACGCGACTGTCCCGACAACATACTGCAATCTACATTAAGAGACACACCAATGATCAGTTTTTTTTTATAAGAAAACAGGGCGCGGGTTGGGGATACTACAGACATGTTGAACTTGACGCTTTCCATCGTCGTCCGTAGGTTTCCTATCTCCCCCTCGATCCGGGTATCCACCTCCCTTATCTTCAGCTCTCGGACCCCCAATTCGTCCCGGATCCGGCCCTTCTCGAGGTTCAGATCTAAGCGCACCGAGGCTTGCGTCCGTGTCTAAAATATTGATTTTCACTATCAGCTTGGTCTCTCATTCCCCCTTTCTGTTCAAAAGAGAGGGATGGATAGTCACGATTTCTTCTCTCAGTCTTTGTTTCAGCTTCTCTAATTCACTGATCAAGCGTTCGTTCTCCGACTTCAGTAACGCGAAGTCCTGTTTCTCGACCAACTGGATTTCCGATTTCAACTTAGCGAAGTCGACTCGTTGGGTGTATTGTTGCTACAGTATCATCATTATCATTCCCGTCCCCGAAAAAAAAAACAAGGAAAGTGTTTAGTCAACCAGTGTTGTTGATGTTGAGTATGAAAAAGAAGAAGCACTTTTTCCATTTCGCTTCGAGTGACCAAGCCGGTGATCAAGTTCTTCATCGATTCGTCGATGACTTGTTCGATGGCGACCATCAAGCCCTCGGCCTGGGCCGGCGAAAGACCCTCCTTCTCGAGTCTACTGACGAACTGATGGCTGTCGAAATAGGGCGCATACTGGAGACTCGAGCAGGACGAAAACGGCGCGCTGATTGATTGGCTTCTTCTTCTTCTTCTTCTTCTTTAAAACATCCCATCGTCAGTCCAGCTTGGGATACCATCACGGACAATGAAGGCTGTGGACTGGAGAAAAAAGACTGACTGCGGATATCCAGGCCTCATCCACCACGCTCCAGTTCGTCCATACAATATCTCCGGTCGCTTGAGCCCCTGGGAAACCCCGAACGGCCTCATCATCTCGACGAGCTTTTGCTGGATTGCTGAGCTTTTGTCGTTGTTGTCGTTGTTGTTGTTGTTGAGAGATGGAGGTGTGGTGAGTTTTAATGGCCTTGGTGGAGATCGAAACCTGTCACAGATCGGTTCACATTTCACCGCTCCATGAACGACTCCGAACGGTTTAACTTTGAAGTTCGAAAACCTCATCTGTCTGGCCTCGTCTCACACAATACTACTTACTCTTTCTGTTTTTTTTTTCTTCCATGGAAAGCTGGTGATGTATGGGTGCATTTTCAGAGTGGAAAAAAAGGATAATTGTTGTGCTTGAGCAGAATAGACCCAGAGATTCTGATGCTTCTTCTTCTTCTTCTTCTTTGATGATTGATGACCTTGCAGTATGTAACAGTTGTTTGATTAATGAATGAACCTTGGAAGATTCCAAACACCTAAAATCCAAAGTTTTTTTTTTGATTTCGTGGATCCACAAGGATGGGCAGGACACTGAACAGTGTAGAGTTGGGTTCTGTGTAGACCAATCAGTTTGTATCAAGACACTCCCCCATTCGCTATATCCATGACATTCACTATATCTCATTTTTGGCGGCTCTCATTTGTACGACCATCATTTTAAGAGTCCATATTATTGCAAGGTAAATATGTATTGACTGATCAGCAACTTTTCAGAACTTTGACAAGATTCTCAACAGACCTTGGGGGTTTTTCTGAACAATCTCTGAACACATTTTTTTTTTCAAAAATCCCCCCCCCCCAAAAAAAACACGTTCATAATCATTAAATGGGCTTTGAAAACTTGACAAATTTCTACTATAAACCTCCCCCCCCCCTAATGAGAAGATCTGCCTCTTCCACCACCCATTCATATTACCTACACACACATTTATATATATATATATATTGCTTTTCATAGCCATAGATAATAAAAGAAGAAGAAGAAAACTAGACTATAAGGATTGGTTATTTGAGGAAAGTTTGGTGTCGTGTATCTGATCAGTAACAATATCACAATCCATATCAGGATCCAATAAATATATATATGCAGCTGTCCAATTTTGAATATCTTTTTTTCAACTATTGATCTTTCAACTATTAACGGGCCCATAGTCTCATACTATTTACTGCCTTCTTTTCTTGAGCTGTTGGCGATATCATACCCAAAATCAATAAAAACAAGATTCTTCTTTCTTTTCCATGTTTGTCAAGATGTAGAGCTACCAGATCAGAGAGAAGAAAAAAAAAAACAGAGAGAGAGAACAAGGGAGAGAATGAGTGATGAGTGGTGAGTGGTGAGGATGGGGGAGGGGGAGGATTAGGAGGAGGATCAGAGGTTGACTTGGACGGTGATTTCTTGGGCGATGTATTCGTGCATCTTAGTCGAAGGATGAAGCGTGTCCTTGAGCCGAGAAGATCGAAGCGAAAGAACGGATCAGCAAAGGGGACACACATATGAGAATGGACAAAGGAGGGCCAGAGAGGGCAGGGAGCAGAGGATACACGCACATAGTACTTCCATCGTTCAGGAGCTTTGCAGTTCGCCCCCGTCGTCGAATTCCAACATGCATCCATCACATTCACAAAGTTATACTACCACCCCAACCAACCACACACATACACATACACACCAAAGAAATCAGCCGATGGTTATGTCGAATCATAGGAGGGGTTACAAGAAAGGAAGCCAAAAAAAAAGGGACTGAACTACTTCGGGATGGCTTCGGACGAAGTACCAGTATTTGGGGATGTCGAAGTATGCCAGATTGTTGCCCGAGATGGCCGATTTGTCGGGTCCAGCTCGATTGGCATCTTGCGAAAGAGCTTTGATTCCTTCGCTCAGTTCCTACAGAGAGGAAGGCATCAAGAACGGACAAACGATGGTGAGTCTACATTTTTGACTTGCAAAAGGGGGGTAATGAATCGAAGAAGAAGGAATGTATGTACATGATTGTAAAGCCGGGTGAGATTGCCGATGTATTCCAGATAAGTGTTGACGAGCTGGGGGTTATTTTTGGCGAGAGTTTTAGATTGATAGTGGAGGTTAGGGAGGATTTCGAGGGGCGGGATGAGCATGAGAAGGAAGTCGGAATGGAGGGCGTTAACTTGAGGATGGCTGTGGAGGAGCTTGACCTGGTCGAGCAGTTCGCGGGCCTCGAGATGGACTCTGCCGACGGCATATTCGAAGCCGGTCTGGGGGCCATGGATGTTGCCGTTCTGGAAGGTCCCGTTCTTGATCACGTCCGTCCAGATCTGGATGATGTCGTTGATCCCGATCCATACACAATGTAACACCCGTCCGCTCCGCTCGTCTCCCCGCTGTGCTTTCTTCTCCCGAACATCCCCAATGTACATCTCCATCTGCGCTCGTGTGTCCGGCGCATTCACCTTCGTTAGTCCGTTGTTCACCGTCGCATCGCCACTGGAGATCCATTCATAATCATTTTCAACCCCCCAACTTCCGTCTCTTTCTTTCTTCAACTGTCTCCTCCCCGACGCGACTTACTAAGCATAGTTTAGCAGACTGATATTGTTTCCAGTCAGAGTTGAAGCGGCCATGTATTCTCCAAAGACCGGGCCATTGGTGAACCTTCCATGCCAATATGGAGCGCCTAGGGTGATATCAGAAAAATTCCACACAAACAGACGCATGTCAGTGAACGGTTGGGCAGGCGAAAATCCGGGAGAGGGATGAGACTTGAAGAGAGAGAGAAGAAACTTGCCTCTGACGGTATCGGCAAAGATGGGGGAACGGGGATGAGCGTCGTCGCAATCGGAAGCGCCAAAAATGACTGTATGTAGGAAGGAGCATGCACGAGTGAGTGAGGGCAAAGCAGCGAATTGTCGGGAAATGATGCAGGATCTGGAGTGGTGGTGCTCTTACCCACTGCGCTGTACTGGACCCGGTTCCAATGGTTCGTGCTCAGCCTCTGAGGGAAGGTCGCGTAACTATCGACATCCGACTGCAGCTTCCGCGCCGCGACTGAGGGGTTGTCCGAGTTAGACGATGCCGAGCGTTGGTGGGCATGTTTTGCACTGGAATGTTGGACGCCAATCAAGAGTTTTTTGTGGTCAACACTCCTGGTCTTGTTATGTATGTACTCTGGAACTACATATGTACAACTATGCAATCTCTTGAATAAAAGATTCTTGGGGTTTTGGCGGGACTTACCCGACAATGGCCGCGACGACGATGGAGGCAGATACGGCGGCTCCCAAGAACCCAAGAAGGATGTATTTGCGCATTCTTGGGTGTTGGATCGATGGATTCTTGCGAGCGCTTGAGACCGGGGTTGGTATAGAATTATATCGAATAAATATGGATCAACGAATTAGAATGAAACTCGCAAATACAATCTATGTATCCTCCCTGGCTATGTACAAATGATATGTACGCCTTTTGTACGATCCGCCGGCTTGTGGGGTATATAATTGGTGGCTGTACCGTTTTATGGGGTTGTTGGCCTATGAATGTCCGATAGCTTTTTATTTACTGGATATGAGAAGGTGGTTGTATGTGGCGGATTTGTCGACTCTCTAGTGAAAGTCTATCGGTTGTTAATCGTATCTTCTTTATTTTAAGTGTCGATTGATGATCTAACCCAAGTGCCTATTCTTTCGTGTCTGATAAGTTAACTTTTCGAGTCCGAGTCTTTCAGAGTGATGAGAGTTGGCCTGATTGTATATTCTTTGGGTTGGATGAGAGAAGGCTTGAAAAACAAATTTGAATTTGATGAAAGAGAGAGAGAGAGAGATTGACGAGCGTGTGTGTGTGTTTTAGGTTATTGGGCGGACATTTATTACGCAAGGCCCAGCAGCAGGAAGAAAGGGATATGATTTGTAATGGGGCGTTGGGCTAATAATAATACTGAGCAGCGCAATAACGTCAGCAACTCCAGCAGCAGGCTGGAAGTTCGCTCTGTGAGAGTGTTGATGATGATGGTTGGATGAGGGGGAAGTCAAGGTGCAGATAGAGTTCTCCTGATCATGAAGAGATGATGGCAAACGTATGAGTCTACAGATTTACACACATTTTAAATGGGTCACAAGAGATCAGAGAAGTGAGCTTTCGTTTTTTTTTTACAAATTGGTGAGGAGAGGAGCGCTTGAAGATGGATTTGGAGCAATCGAGGGGATGTGCAAGGAAAGTACTTATGAGGATACTCATCCAACAGAACAAGCAATCGAAGAAAGAGAGGAGGCCAAGGACTCCTTCCAGGGCCAAGCGATTCAGGGTTAGATGTTTCTTTAGTTGATAAACTGGGATCAAGACTCACACTTCGATTATCAATCTATAACCAGTGCCAGTCAAGTCCGCAGAAAGAATACTCAAGAATCTGCGTTCTACACAATTGTGATCGGAGAATAGAGAAAACTTATAGGCTCGGCTGTGTGGGTGGTCTATAGCAATGTGGTGGGCTGATCACTGCGCCGGCCCCCACTTTCTCGAGAGGAGATGACATACCAAGGGAGGAAATCGGAGGTGAAGAAGAAGAACAGCGCAGGATGACGATTGATCACATGATCCAGATGGAGTCGACGGCCAGTCTGCCAAGACCGAAGACCCTCGAAGACCAGATCCCGGGGTTCTCTCCTGCGTCTGGAGGACAGCTCGACCGAGTGGATCGACCAGGTGGTGGTGGACAAGTTCTGATAAGAACCCTTGAAGTCTGTTCATAGACAAAATCAAGATTATAGCGGAGGATTCGTTATTTTACGCGTGGTGGCTGTTTCGAAAGAGGTCGAGATTGAAGGTCCTGTAGACCATCAACCATGTGCACTCGGAAGATGTCATCACAACTCTTGGGATGGGTTATGGAGGCTTGATGGCATGTACAGTGGGGGACACCATACATCCCACCAGCAAAAGTTGATTTTACCATGCCGGCTGAATGTTTGTCTGCCATGTGTGGTGTTCAACCCCAAAAGTGTCATTTTTGGCCTTTTTGGAGTGTGTACTTTCCATTTCTTATTTGGTTTTGCAATCAGACCGTTCTCTTTTTTCACTTTTTGAAATCCATAATTTCGGACACATGCCATTAAAAATGGCTTTCAAGTCCATAAGGATGTAGTTGGGACCTAAACCTGGACTTGCAGATACATAGCCTGAAGCAAATGTGCATGGAGTTCAAGTGGATATATTTATGTGTGTAACCACCTCATATATGCCTATGCTCACGTCAGTCCCTGTGATAATCCCCTCATGAAGACTTTTGGGCAAGTTGGGTGGGTCTGAGACCTGAGATGAAACTGGAATTCATACTGTAGGTGGGTTTTCTGGGCAGATTGGCCTAAAAAATCACACTTTTTTGCCACCCAGAGGGGTGAGTTTTTGGGTTTTTCTTCCTCAACATTTTGGACACTGTAAAATCTGTTACAGTAATGGAGGACTTCCCGTCGCGATTTAGAGCACTTTTTAGACCTCTCTCAGTCTTAAATTAAGACAGCGATTAAGATTCCAACCAGCTCACGTGAGAGCTATTGCCGGGAGGCTTCAGAAAAAATATTTTTTTTGATAAAAAATCTAGATCTAGGGGGTGTAAAACAACTTCTGGGAGGGTCGTAGATTGCGACGGGAAGTCATCCAATATGGTGTCCCCCACTGTATATTCTCTTGATCCCGGCTATATTGAATCCCAATGAAGCTTGACTTTCCAGCCTGTTCTCTGTCACCTTTAATCATCATCTTTGCGCACTATGTACAATGTCAAAATTACCAGAATCATAGCCCGGTTTGGTTGGAGATCCCCCTTTTGGGCTGCTTGCTGGTATGGGCTATGTACAGCATCCTCCCAGATGTTTATGTCTGGGGGTGAACTGTCACAAGTTGACTTGCACCCGCGCACTAAACTGCAGTGCGCGGGTGCAAGTCAACCTCTTCATCGGCCAGCAACTCATCAGACAACAACCTCACCCATCGACAATTGATCTCGCGACAACTTCAATCAACCCGGAACAAACTCGGTCGATCTCGGCCTCAGGACGAATTCGATTGGAATCAGACATTAGTCTGTATTTCCACTGTTTTTTTTTTCTTTTTTTCTTTTTCTGATTTTTGCTTCGTTTTGGAACAGGATCGTTTTGATGGGACGCATCCGCGGACAGCCCAACCTCACAACCGAGCAGAAGGCTCGCATCGCCGGCATGGTTGAAGCCGGGATGTCTCATGGGCGAGTCGCGAGCAACGATGAAACGGATGCGATGCGTGCATCGGCATCACATCGTATCGTGCGTTTATCGCATCGCATCGGAGTGAGCGATGCGGGGGCCCCGCATCGCATCGTCCGCATCGGAAAAACCGATGCGGAGAATCGGCATCGCATCGATTTCCCGATGCGATGCCCGATATTTTGCAGGCGATGCCGATGTTATCGGCAGGCATCGCCTGAACCTCCCTCCGGAGTCCCCTGACATGAGGAGGGACTCAGGAGGGGTTGTAGTAATGTATGCCTGCGAGTCCGACTCGACTCCGAGTCACTCCGGAGTCCAAACTCGACTGCGAATCGCGATTCGCCTTCCGAACTCGACAGCGTGAGCGCTTGCTTGGATTCCAATTTGATCAAGTCAAGCGTGCCGTCGGAGGAGTCGACCATTCACTCTCATTTTCCTTCCACAACAACTCCTCCACTTTCCTTACCACCAATACCATCAGCCTCCCCTTCGGGACTGTGCTCAGGAACAACGGCTTGGACCCCTTACCGCACTGCCATCCTCTGCCACTCAAGCCCAGCCAGTCCAGTCCTTCAAGCCTCGACTACCCCTCCTCCTTGCCCCCTCGACTCCAGCAGGCCGAGCACTTCCTTCAGCCCGGACAACACCTCGCTTCATCCGCATCGAACCCGGATTTCTTCGATGAGCAGCAGTACGACCGTTCGCCGGCGCCCGACCAAAACTTCTCCATCCCTCCTCCGAATGAAGCCCATCGCAGAACAGATGAAGACTCCTCACACCCTCTGTCCCGTCATCACAGAGAGATTGACGACACCCTCCATCCGCCGAAGTCGCCATCGATTGTGCCCGACGATGCACCAACGTTGATTTTGACCCGATGCGTCCGATACGGCCGATAAATACATGCATCGCATCGGTTAAGCGATGCATCGCATCGGTATTGCATCGCAAAGCCGATGCGATACCGATGCGATGCATCGGTATCGCTTAAGCGTGTATCGCTAAAACGATGCAATACCGATACAGGGCGAATTATCGCATTGTATCGCATCGTTTCATCGTTCTCGCGAGGATAGTGGGCTCCGGACAAACAACGGTCTCTTCGATCGTTTCACGGGCTCGGACTCGTGGGACCGTCGAAACCGCCGAGAAGAGCGGTCGGCCTCGATTGAGTAGCGAGCGAGACTTGATGCAGCTGCAACGGTCCCTTGCAAGCCACCCCAAGTTGACCCTAGCAGAGGTGACCAATACCATGGCCACTCCGGTTTCAAGCTCAACCATCTGACGAAGAGCTCACAATCTCGGATACAACAGTCGTATTGCCGTCAAAAAGCCATTTATCAACAATAAAAACAAAGAAAAATAACTGCTTTTTGCTCGTGCGCACCTCAATTGGATGATATCAGACTGGTCCAAGGTGATCTGGTCGGACGAATCATCCTTCGAAACTGGGAAGAGGTCGCAGCAGGTGAAGGTTTGGCGACAGCCTGGTGAACAAATGAAGCCTGAATGTCTCGAACCAACTTTCAAGAGTGGCAGGTCATCAACTTTGATCTGGGGGGCCTTCTTTGGAACAACAAAGATACCCATTGTTTTCCTTCGAAAGGGTGGCACAAAAGCAACCGATTACATTGATCAGGTCTACAAGGGACGTCTCGTCGAAACACTTGCTGCCGTCGATCCAGACCATCAACTCTTGTTGATGGAAGACAACGCCCGATCACACACGGCCAAGCTCAGCAATACCTTTCGACAAGACAACCACATAAACACCATTGAATAGCCGCCCCAGTCACCCGATCTGAACCCAATCAAAAACTTGTGGAAAATTATGAAGACTGCAATCGTCAAGCACTACCAACCCAAGTCCCTTGACGAAATGAAGGAGGCCATCCAGCAAGGCTGGGATGACATCCCAGTGGATCACCTCAAAAGCCTTGTCAAGTCGATGCCCAACCAAATGCGCCTGGTGGTGGAGGCCTCTGGTGGGCCGATCAAATATTGATATTTCCATTTTTATTTTTTACTTTTTTTATTTTTTTATTTCATAATCATTATCCCCCACCTCTCAGCTACCCTCCCCACTTGATTTTTTATTTAAAAAAAAATATTAAAGAAAATAAAAAAGTTCAATGATGCTTTTATTTTTTTAAAATGTAATGCATTTTGCATTTTGTTTTTTTTGTTTCATATTCCTTTTTATCATCCCCCTATCCACCACTCCACAAGAACTCAGAGTTTGATGTGTGATAGTTTTTTTTAAATAAAGTAATTGATGTGTCATAAACAATTGGGAGGATACTGTAAAACAGTCCCTTGACAGAAAAAATGGAACACTCTTTAAATTGGAGTCTAGTAGAGGGCAAAAAAATGGACTGCAATTTACGATTCCTGGGCAAACTGTGTACCATGGAGTTCCGGTGAATGATTCTGAAAAGTTTGACAGAAAATTGTTTTGAAGGTTTGTAAATTTTTCTACATTTTTTCATCTTTTTAGACCTATTTTTCAATCATTTTTCCAATTAGCTCAGATCAACACAGGTACTGCATGCAAAAAGAATGATTAGAAATTAAATTTGAAGAAAAGTGGAGGACTTCCCGTCGTGGTTTAGAGTGCTTTTTAGACCTTTCTCAGTCTTAAATTAAGAACACAATGAACATTTCAACCAGCTCATGTGAGAGCTATTACCAGAAGACTTCAGGAAAAATGATTTTTTTGATAAAAATTTAGATCTAAGGCGTGTAAATCGACTTCTGGGAGGGTCGTAGATTGCGACGGGAAGTCATCCAGTGATCAAATTTATAATTTCAATTCTCAGTCCAATTTCTTCTGCTCTCTAAACTTTGTATGATTTTGTTTCTTTCGATTTTTCATTTATCATCATCCTTTTCTCACATGCAATTGTGTTGATCTGGATTTTCTGAGCTCCTTTGAAAAAACTATTGAAAAATACCCCCAAAAAAATTAAAAAATTAAGAAAAATATGCAAACTTTATGCAAAACTTTTTTCTATCCAACTTTTCAGAATTGTTCTTTGGAACTCCATTTTACACAGTTTCACCAGGAATCGTGAATTGCAGTCCATTGGTTTGCCCTCTACTAGACTCCAAGTAAAGGGTTCCATTTTTTCTGGAACAAGTTGCTGTTGGATCAAACTGTTTGCAGTGTTTTTTTTAGAGAGGAGAAATGCCGTTGGATCAAACTGTTTGCAGTGTTTTTTTTAGAGAGGAGAAATGTATTATAACTCAATGTTTGATTGATTTGATTCAACTTGTTGCATTTATTAGAGGCTTCATGACTGGTGAGCTGATGGGACCTGAACCATCAAAGCCATGGATCAAATTCTCAAGCCAACATCATATCAGCTAAGCTACATAAATAGTATGAATTTTTCTCACAAAGAAGCAGATGGATCATCCAGATTTTCAGGGAATTGCATCCCACTCCCATCCCTCCCACCTCACCCTCTGGGGGTCACAGCTCTGTTCACAAAAAATGATTTCTCTGTGATCAAGTTGAATCTAATACCTCCTTACTTTTATTGGGCCTAGAGTTGATCAAAGAGAGAGAGAGAGAGTGTGTGTGTGTGTGTGGGGGGGGGGGATTTGGTAACTCCAGAGCTCATGATCATGACTGTCAGGTTTGAGGGCTGTGCGATGGGGTATATCATTTTGAACATCTCCCAAAAGGTTTTGGGAGTGAGCACCAGATCTGGGTGGGTGTCCTCTGGAGAAACAATGTTGGACATCCTTGAGCTCACCCAAGCTTCTTGCGGTGAGTGAAACTCTCACTCACCACAAGAATCTTGGAGAGTGCAGACAGTCTCTCCAGAGAGGCTTCCCCATTGCTGCTCAAAGTTTGTGTGAGCAGGAAATGTCATAACTTAGGCTGCACTTGGCCATCCATGTTATGTACAAGTCCTAATAATCAGATTTAATGTTTATCAAACACAACAGTGCAAATCCCTTACAATGGGATACTGATTTGATCCAGACTGTACCTCTTGAATTGAGAATATAAGCAATAAACATCTTATGTAATGAGAATCAAGTCATGGTGTGACCAGCCAAAAAAGCTTCTCAATATTGTTATAATCCCCATCCCCCCAATATTTCCTACATGATTTTCAAATAACAACATAGAAGATCTTGGGTGGCCAAACAGGGCCTTATGTTGAGGAATTGCAGAGTTGAGTGCAAGTGACTGGCAAAAATGTTTGTCAGTCACTCTGAACCAAAAACCACACATGATGAGTTTCCAAAATGGCTTTCTACTAGCCACATACAATCCTGAAATGAATGCTGGGTACTCAACATGCATACTCTTCTGTGCAGATTCACTTGCAAGGCATTTTCACTCAACTCTGAATCCCACTATGGTTCATTTTTGACTTATCCACCCTCTCCTTGTCACTTTCTTCTGTATGGAATAGGGCTTTGGTTGAACAACTCCCAAGGATTTTTAAATTAATCACAACAACCATTTCCAGACATCTGTTGGGAGTCTTTCCTCCAAATGGATGGCCTGACTTTGTTGAAATTGACGCCGAGAGAGGTCCAAAGTTGGCAAAGCCAAAGAAGCAGACAAAGGTCTGATATACTTATATTTCTTAACTGGGCGGGCTAAAGTGCACTCAGTATAAGACTGAGGGAAGGCTAATTTGTCACCTCAGGATCAATAACAAGCTGAGCTGATGTTTTTGATTTCTTAGTAGCTAGTGATTTTTAAGTATTCTAGATACAAGGTCCACAAGTTGTGGGAGCAAGAAGTGATCCATAATGAGTAGAAAACAATTGAGTATCACTGAAAGTTAAAATGAGTGACATGAGATTGGAAAAAAAAAGTGACATGTTTGAGCGAGAAAAGGGAGAGACAGAGAGGTTGACTGAAATTCCAACAGACTTGGGAGACAGCCATCCAATCTTATTTTTGGTTTTCCCATTTTTTGGGAGTCAGCTCCCAAAAATAACCCTCACACATGGGAGTCAGCTCCCAAAAATACCCCTCACACATGGTAGTTGCTCCTGCTTGACCACAAGGAGCCCCTTCCTGTCAGGGAGGTGTAACAACCTTATTAACCAGTCAGTGAGGTGTTTCAACCCTCATTGAAAAGAATGGGTCTCCCCATCAGTGAGGTACAAAGACCTCACTGACAGGAATGAACACCTTCCAGTCAACAAGGTACAGTGCCTAGACAGTGAAAAGTGGCTGCTTATTTTGGATTCCAGAGCCCTGAAACACAAACTTGAAGTCATGAGACTTGGTCAGGTGGTGCATAAAAGCTCCCAAAAAATGAATATGAAATAATAAAAGCAAAAAATAAAGTTTGAAAATTTGTGAAAAATAAAAAATAAACTTGATTTTTTTTCAAAAGCTTTGATATTCATTTTGGGGGAGTGGAATGGCTGAGAGAAAGAAAGAATGGAACATGGCAAGAATGATTATAAATGAAAAAATTGGAACCAAAAAAGGTTTGGCCAGGTTGGTGGTCCAGATTGGAGCCAAAACAGTAAATTCTAGTGCTTTGCTGCAATGTGGGCTGGTGAATGCCCCACTCAACAGCTGTTTGAAGCCATCTGAAAACCAATTTTCCAAAATTTTCATTTATAATCATTCTTCTCATTTCCCAATCTTTCTTTCTCTCAGCACTCCCACTCCCCCAAAATGAATATCAAAGCTTTTGAAAAAAATCAATTTTATTTTTTATTTTTCACAAATGTTGAAACTTTATCTTTTGCTTTTATTATTTCATATTCATTTTTTGGGATCTATTATGCACCACCTGAACAAGTCTCATAACTTCAAGTCTGTGTTTGGGAGCTCTGGAATCCAATATAAGCAGCCACTTTTCACTGTCTACCCACTGTACAAAGACCTCACTGACTGGAAGGAACCCCTTCCAGTCAATGAGATACAAAGACCTCACTGACTGGAACAAACCCCTCCTGGTCAAGTGGGACTGACACCCAAACCCCCACATGTGTGGGGGTGGTTTGGGGATCCAACTTGCAAAAATTGAAAATTAAACTGGATGGACAACTCCCAAGTCCAGTCATCCATTTGAGTGAATGTCTTTCAATGCAATCCTGGCAGCAGTCTTTGCAAGTCATCATCAAGCCCTTGGGATTTATTTAATCAAAGCCCTGTTGAGATATTCATGTTACTGTTGCTTTTCATTACCATAGCTATGGTAGTTGTGTGCTTCTTTCTGTTTTCATTTCTCAAAGGTCACAATCTGTGAAATTCATTATGTTTTCTTTTGCTCTTATACTGGAGTCAACAGTGCTGGGAAAGATTCCTTTTTCCTCATCCTTTCCACCACTGTTGGACCCAAGTTAGACTTTTCTCTTTTCTCTTTTCTTTCTTCTATCTCTTTGTTTCTTCTCACTATTGAAATGAACTCATCCTTTCCAAAACTGTTGGCCCCAATTTCATCTCAACAATCCCATAAAATATTCTGGGGGTGGGGGCCCAACAAAGGACCTCTCATGAGATCTACAGCCCTTGAAGAATCAGATTTGGATCAACTGAAATCAGATTTTGGAGGGAAATTTGATTCAAGGTGCTAAAAATCTGGTTTTGTAGGGGCTTCAGAACCAATCAAAATTCATCCAATGGTGTCACTAACATCCTACCAATTGATTTGGTAGGGCTTTCTATTTGTAATCAAATAGTAACATTTTTAAAGTTGCACACAGAAAATAATTTCTGTTCAGGTTTGAAGGGTGTCTGGATGGTTGGTGCCAAAAACTTAGATTTTTAAATCATTTTTACATGTTTCAGTGGGGATCAGACCTTGGTGACAATAAATAAGATTTATAAGTCACAATAGAATCAAAACCAAACAGGAAAGATCATATCAGAAAAAAACAAGAAAGAAAAAGATTAAGAAATGATCATTCAAAGAGAAAGACAACATACCACAATGTGAACAGCGGTGGGCCGCTACACTTTTGGCCCAAAAAGCGTAGCGTAGCGGCGCTTTTTTTCATCAAAAAACTGTAGTGTTAGCGTTTTTTTAGCGGTTTTTTGCTACGCTACGCTGCCCTACAGCGCTTTTAGCGGAAAAAGCGGCCAAAAACCGCTAAAAAGCGCTGTAGCGCAGCGTAGTGGGCCCTTTTTTGCGGCCCACACGAGTAGCGTTAGCGGTGTCGTGGCGGAATCCCGCTACGCTACGCTTAGCGCTAACAGCAATTCCGCTGTGTTACGCTACACTAACCATAGTGGTTAGTGTAGCGGCCCACCGTTGATGTGAATTAGATTTTATAGGAAGCAGCACAGTCAGACTGAAGTGAGTAAGATCAAAGAGAGACAAGCAGTATGTGCTATGTGTAGTCTTTGAAACCTGACTAAGGAGGCCTTACTTTCTATCATAGGTTCCTGTGTGTCTTCTTGGATGAAGAAGCTTCATTTTTGGTCTGATTTTGTTGCCTCTTGCTTGATCACCTTGACTGGTGTTTTTTATTCCATTCAATATACAAATTATTCTACTTTCATCTTGACCACAGCCTTGCCAATTGCAATTTGTCTATTTTAGTCTATCCTAGTCCAATGAAATCAAGCATCATTGGTTCTCCTTCAAATCATTAATGTCCACCTTTGATTTCCCCAAAAAGTGCCACCTGAGTCTGTTCCCAAAACCCTCTCCTCCATTTCTCCTCCCCTCCGTTTCTTCCCATGCTCAAAGTTCACAGAAAAGCGTGTGAACCCTGCATTCTTGGGTTTCACAAATCAAGCTTACATAATCTCAAAACAATACTTAATCTTCACTTGCCCCGCACCCCATCTAGCTCAGTAGAGACCCGACTTCATTTATCCTACTACTGAGCTAGGTAAGCCATTTCTCATTCTCTTTTCCCTTAATGTTTCCTTCTGTTCTCTCATTTTCTCTTTTCAGTGTTTTCCTTCTTTTTCTCTCTTTTCTTTCTTCTTCTCATTATCATTGTACAGTACTGACAAGAGTAGAGACCCGACTTTATTTATCCTACTACTGAGCTAGCTACGACGCAATGATAATCTTTGGTTCTAGAATTGGTCTCCAGAGCAAACGGCTCTGATTCTAGAAAGTGTTCTTTGACGGTTTTAGTGAAGAGTTGAAAGAACTCTTACGAACCGTGCATGAGGCACAAACCTAAATAAATGATGATTATGGTCCAAGGTGTACTACGTAATAGTTCGGCAATAGAGAACTTGGACATTTTGATATGAGTTGTGTCAAGATTACAGATGGATACCAAGTCTGTCAAGCTCAGGAAATCTAAGGATGCTTCCCCTCACCCATTCATGCGCGCTTAATTCTCAATTCATACTGGAATCTTCAAAATTACTTGTTGAGTATGGGCCGAATTGGGTCAAATGTTATTGGCAAATCACTTTCTAGTAGCGATCAATTGTCATTGTTCTCAAGCGACTCCTGGAACATGCAGGAAACATCCTTTGTATAGTTCATATTTCGCCCAAAATAACTATTATACTTCCGGTAATAAAAAAAGATCAATTGATTTTCCGTTTTTTCCAATGAGGTCTCGCTGAGATAAAGTGTCCAAGAATACAAAAGCAAGGTGTTCAAGTAAAGAAAATTTCGATCTATAAAATGTCCTAAGGATGGGTTTGTTCGGATGGCTCCTCTGATATTGCGAGTAAGGATTTCACAGAAGAAATATCCGGAAAGTGCTTGAGTTGGGGACGGGGCCTAACGAAATAGCCGTCTTGTTTCGTTACTTCGGACATTGTATGAATCGAGACTGGATGAATTTCGCCTTTTATTGTAGGTGTGATTGTCCATGTGTCGAACAAGCTGTTAGTTGCAGGCCTTACGATTGTCACCTGATTGTCGATTTGCGACATGGCTCTGGAGTAATCTAAACGTGACCTTGTGAAGAAGATCCAACTCGAGAACAGTCCGGTGAAGGCGAATATGAAATTGTTCATTACTGTCGCCTTGCTTAACAACGTCACTTGCGCACTGACATTTCCGGACTTCTTCAGAACATACATGAATCGAATCATCAGAATAACCTCAACCTGTTCAATAAAACGAGCGAAATCATTAGTTCGCTTATCGTCCCTCCTGATTGTCATTGAGTTTCGCGATAACTGAGCTTACTAGCGCGTGAACCAGTGACAAAATCGCAGCCAAAATGAGATGAGTGTTATCAGAGAAAATAAACTTCCGAAAGGAGGACCCGAAGCTTGGACTTGGGCATCGCATATCGATGCCGTACTCTTCATCTAACGTGGGCTGCCCTAATGATGGCATGTTGCTAGAATAGGTTTTCAGAGAGATGCTGTTCCGGTAGATCTGCATCTTGTGGATGATCTGAAAATATATATAATATAGTGGCAAGGAAATCTGTAAGGAAAGAAAAAACGTTAGCCCAGGTTAAATTTGTCAATCAGAAGGATGGAATTAGCTAGCTTGGCTACAAAAAAGGAACTCACGCATATGAAAGCAAAAAACCATGCCAGCCTCGACTGGAGAGGCGGTAGAATGAAATCATATGAGTTAATGTGACCGTTGACGCAAATATGGTGATCCGCCGCTACAAGGCTCAATTGGCACTCACATACAACAGAAAACGAAAATCTTCAAGCCAAATCGCCTAGAAAGTGACCCAATGTATCAGTCTCTTGTGCAGCGTTGACGGAGTAGTAAAAAAAACGTACAAATGCGGCAGTCAATTCTAGAAGCCCCGGAAGTTCTGGGAGAAGGTCATTCTCAATCGTAAACTTTGCCGGATCATAGACGGCTGCCATCGCCTCAAATCGAGCAGAAATTTGGTCGAAGGAATCCAGGAGAGATATCAAGCCATACCCAGCATAAACTACCGTGGCGGTTTCATCTACTTGCCAACAAATTATTCCATGAAATCATCAGTATTGACGGAATCCAGTGTTGCACCAATTGCGCGGTTTAGGTGAACAAAGCTCTAACGAGCAGAAATCAAAATTCCGACTGACAAATTACAATCAGAACCAAAGAGCCAAGAGCCATAGCATTAAAAGCTAGCGCAGAACGTTTATATCCCACGAGCTTTCCAATTATGCCTTTGGGAAGTTGCGAATAAGTGGTATAAATACTGCTTCCCATTCCCCAAACATAAACCCTGAGACCAAAGTAAATCTGGGTGAGTAGGATTGAAAAAATTCATGAGCGAGGCATGTACTTACCAGCTGGACAACCACAACGGCATCCACTTGAAGCCTGCTATGATGGTCCGATCCTTGAATGTCTATGGGTAATTGTTTTTGATTCAGCCACCTTAGCCTTCAGCCGTGACATCAAGTCTCATAAATCATGAATTACGCACCGAGATTCCATTTATGTCTAGTATTAACAAAACTGTTTCACTGACCAGAAGAAGGGTAAAAGATAGACTCAAGATAGCCATCAGAAATCGAGTGTTGGGCACAAAGACGCCAACTGAGCAAGAGGCAGGTGAGTTTGGTACTGCGTCCCGCTGCTGTAATACAAATAAACTGTTTGATGCGAAACAGACATACGCTCATTGTTCCGCACAAGCCAATAAGAATTCGATAATCTGGAGTATCTCAGTCCGAGTACAAACCAGGTAAGCTGACTAAAAGTGAAACGAGGATAAATCAGTGGAATTCTTGTTCTTGTGAAAGTGAGTTCACTCAACTCACAAAATAAAGGATAAAAAACAAAGGATTAACCCCGCGGTTATTAGATTAGATGTGTCGGATCCCTGCCAAGTAAATTTGTCGTTAGCATACTACATGTGTAGATTGATGAAATGTCAGAGTTACTCACTACTACGGCATGGATGGAGGATACAAATCGACTTTTTAAGTAATCTCGGATTACCGCTGGTATGTTCTCTTTCGAAGGTGTCGGACTCAAGTTTAAAATGAAGCTCAAAATTTCGCGAACAAAATCTTTATCAACGTTCCCTGGTAATTTTCCAGAGTTAAAGTCCTGCTTTGGCATTGATGGATCGAAGTTCTTAGTATTTATTTTTTGAAGTTGAGAGTGCTATAGCTAAATAAACAGTGAATAGAATACGTTGAAGGCAAAATCCAAGAAAAAACCCAAGTAAGAAAACGCCGGGTATATTAGGTGGCTTGCAGTGCTTTCTCAAGTTTTGGCATGAATGGTGTGTGTTTCAGATGGTATTAATTTGTAGAGGGAATCGGAAGTTGGGTTGGGGTAATAATTTTGGTTGTGAAATTGGAGACACGATGAGCGTGGAGAAAGTGCAGATATGCCCTGGCGAACGCTGGTTTTTACTGATTTTGATCATCAAGAAAGCTTCTGTTGGAATGGAACTCTCAGCGGGAAAACCATTATCACTGAGTTCTCAGGCTATCTAATGATTCCGGTCATGGTGGGCTCAGATCACAGAAAAGCAAAGGTGATCATCCCAAGCGCTGGGTTGAACCAACCCAAAATTATTCCCAATCGATAAGATCAGCACCCGTCCCAAAAAACAAGAAAAGAGAAATCAAAATTAGAAGGCCTGGATTGGGAGACGTTGTTGGATCATCTGTCCCATAGCATCCCCCCCCCCCCCCCCCTCCGCCGATTCGGCTTAAAAGGCTGGGTGGGATGATAATATTGTACACCTTGCACCAGCTCACCGGGGAGATATCCTCTTGGGCAGAAAAGCCGGGGGGGGGGGGGTGCTTAATGAACTCGACGAGGTGGATCTCTTCTCGGTGAGTTGGTTTCACCTCCAACTTGATGAAGGACCTGATGGCCGGAGTGGAGAGGCCGTCCCGCACCAGAACGGCGTCCCTTATCAAGTTCCGAACGCGAGGGACTAAGCCAGATTCCAGCTATACCAGCCGCAGAAGAGGAATTTCTGTTGGAAAGCCGCCATAAAAGCTGGACCAGGTTGCGAGTAGGATTTCTGTTCGATGGTAGGGATGCTCCTCGTGTCCGCCCAGGAAGATTCCTCCACAGAAACCCAGTTCGCTGGGGAGGGAGCCTCTTTGTCGGACTGATACAAGATTTACCAGCTCGCCGAGAGGGATTCCGGTTCAACACCTGATACACCTTCATGCTTATAACACTTCGGCCGCCGGGCCGGTCCATCTGTCGCGGATATCACCAGTTCGATCAATGCTATGTGCGCATATGTCTGATCCTCTTTGTTGTCACGACGAAGTGGATCAGGTCTATTTTTGGCTATTTTTGCATAGCCACAATTATATCCAGGCGCGAATGTTGCACTTAATGATTTCATCAGCTCATCATAGTTTTCATTCCTTCTGTTCAATTATATGTCGTCTTTGACTCTTTTGTCAATGAACGCATCCAGTACGTTATATCCGCCAGTTCAATGAGGCACAGGAAGTGCACGAGAGACTCTTGAAACCGTATGAGCATTTGCATCCCCCGAAAAGTCGATGAATTTTGGTGACTTAACAAGTTAACCCAACCTCAGGCCTGACTACATAGTCCCGAGTGAACAAACCAAAAGCGAGATTTCGGGTCAACACCTGCTAACTATAGCGATCACCCAACCGACAGGTTGAGCACATTTTGCACCGTGCTCCTCAGGTTACGGGGCTCTTAGACCATCTCCACCGTTGGGGACTACCCAAGTGCCTAAATTCCAAACTCGCGCGACTGCGGCGCGCGTTTAGTCCCTGCCAAATTTCCAAGTTCACACCGGGAGGGCCTATACATAGCATCTAGGACTGTGAAAGGGCCTTCCCCTATGTCCCCCGATCCCCCCTAGACCGTGTTTGATGTGATCACAAAACAAATCATAAACAAAGTTCTACCAATTTCAAAGTTCAACATCGCCGGCGCCATGGAACTCGATCCCGCTATACTCCACATCCTTGTTCGGCGACGGCGACTCATGTGTAGGAAAAAGCAAGAATTGAATGCTGTTCTGGAGGTTACAGCTTTGTTGCTTGATGAAGACGATGAAGCGGAGAAAATTGAACCTGTTCATGGAGGATCCAAACCAGGGAAAAGGCCAAATCGCCCCAGGGACTTTGAGGGTAGCTATCAGCGGCTCTTGCACCAGTACTTCTCCGCAAATCCTCTTTACGATGACGAGATATTCCGGCGCCGGTTCCGAATGGCTCAACCCCTATTCTTGAAGATTGCTGAGGCTGTTGAACAACACGACGAATACTTTCAACAAAGGCCAGATGCTTGCGGGAAATTGGGCATCAGGCCCATTATCAAAATCACGGCTGCATTGCGTATGCTAGCCTATGGAGGTGCGGCTGATTGCAATGACGAGTATCTCCAACTATCGGAGACTACTTCCCTACAGAGCATGGACCGATTCTGTGACGCGATTGTGGCTATCTACTCAGCTGAATATCTTCGACACCCGACGGTAGCCGACCTGGAAAGACTTCTCACAGTGGGTGCAAAGCGAGGATTCCCTGGGATGCTCGGCTCACTTGACTGCATGCACTGGACATGGAAGAATTGCCCAGCCGGTTGGGCAGGACAATTTCAAGGGAAAGAGAAGGTTTGTCCTCTCTCTTTCCTGTTCGAGATGGTCTAAGGACCATCTCCACCGGGGGGACTAAATCGCGGGACTACACCCAATTTAGTCCCCCAAACCCCATTTGGGCCTTCCACCGGAGGCCCTAAATGAGGTCCTACATTTGGAAAAACCATCTCGGGGCCTACAGTCAACCTAAATTTAGGAGTGTATAGGCACTCATCATCGAGTGCCTATCTCCCATATCACACACAAGACCTGTGATATCCACCCCCCCCCTACACAACACATATCCCCCGTATCCCAATTGTGCATCACTGCAGAAAATTGTAGCTCTCAACAAAATCAAAGACATCGACCAACATGAATCCCGACGGCGACCCTGAGCAAAGGATGGATGACGAAAACGAATGCAGTACGTGAATTTCTAGCTTTTTGGTTCACTTGATATTCCCCTGCTCATTTTTACCTATATCCAGTTGATCCCGACCTTGACTCAACAACCACCAAGAAGAAGAAAGCCCCCAATTACACTGAGGCCGAGGACTTTGAGCTGTGTCGAGCCTGGATTCGAATATCCGAAGATCCTGCCGTTGGAACACACCAGGACGGAAACACATTCTGGCAAAGGGTAACCGCTGCTTACCACGAGGCTGTCCCAAGTCCCATTCGACCTGTCGATGGCACCAAAAAACGATGGGGTATCTTGCAGCGCATGCTCAACAAGTTCCGCGGATGCGTCGATCAAGCCGAACAGTTTAATCAGAGTGGTGCTTCTGCCGAAGACCAGTTGAATCGGGCCCTCCGATTGTACTCTGTTGATCAGAAGACGCACTTCAAGCATCTCCGTGCCTACAACCTGGTTGTCAAATGCCCAAAATGGAATTCCTACACTCAAGACAACGAACGAAAGCTAGCTGCCAAGAAAAAAAGGCCAAGAAGCCCCAGTGAGGAAGCCCCATCAACTGCTCCGGCTTCGATTGCCCCGGACGAGTCAACTCCTGGACCATCGGACGCTGCTGCCTCAGAGTTTGAGGGCACAGGCGACGAGGCTTCTATCATCGATCGTCCGATGGGTAAGAAAAAGGCCAAGCTTGCTCAACAACTGGCCTTGAAGGAGACCACCTGGAAGGAAAACATCGCTTGAGCTCATGTGTCCATCGCCACCGAATCGAAGCGCAACAATGACATCCTCGATAACGACTCGGAGTCCCTCAAGGTTATTGCGGACAATGGGAAGACTGCTGCACAGCTTGCCATCATGAACAAGGACCTTGATGGTCTGGATGAACAGCAGATAGAATACTTCCAGTTGAAAAGGAATGAAATTCTCACTTCCCTCCGATCCCGAAAGGACACCACCTAAGACAACTCAATCCATCAAAGTTCCTCTCATGACCGATCATCTGTCCTCATGACCGATCGTCTTTCCTGACGACCGATTGTCTTTTCTTACATCCAATCGCCTTTGCCAACCGATCTGCTGTTCTGAAACCGATGGCCTTTTACAACCAATCTTCTTTCCTGACAACCGATCCTTTTTCCTTACAACCGATCGTCCTTCCTTTCTTTCCTCTTGCAATCAAACTATGATTGGTTTTGTTTCTTTCCTTCTTGTGATTGATCATAGTTACTATTCCTCAATGGTTTTCCTTTCCTTCTGGAAATCAATCATCGTTTCTCTCTGATTGTAGTTCATCTTTAAATCAATCAATCTAGTCTGTTGATATATTGCTTGTTCTATCTATTTGATCGATGTGATCAATGATGAAATACAGATAGCAAACAAACAATGAAAGGCAAAAGAAAAAGAAAACAGAAAACAGAAAACAAATTGATCTTCAAAAGAAAGTAAGGTGATTTCAATCCAAGCGACCCTCGCGACCCCTCACTTCCCACTGGTGCTTGATCAGATCGGTTCGCAATTGATGATGAGTAGCCGAATTTTTCATAGATTCGTGATTTTCAATGAATTCAGCAAACGATATCCTCCCCTCTCGTGTCACCTCCACTGGTGTAATGACGGCCGAAGGACTGTTGTCGTAGTTGTATTGTAAATATGTATCCCTTTCATCCTCCACTATCATATTGTGGAGGATGATACAACATTTGATGATGCTGGACAGGTTATGGTGTTTCCATCCTCGGGCTGGACGAGAAACAATAGCAAAGCGAGCTTGAAGTACACCAAATGCTCGCTCAACATCTTTCCGTCTGGCTTCTTGCATTTTCACAAAATGCCTCTGATCCAACCCTTCCGGCTGGGACAGGGTTTTCACAAAGGTTGCCCAGTCTGGGTAGATACCATCCGCAAGGTAATACCCTTGGTGATAGGTGTTACCGTTGATTTGATAATTGCAACGCGGAGCCTCGCCATTGAGTAGATTCTTGAAGAGCGGCGAGGAATCCAAGACATTTATGTCGTTATGTGATCCGGGCATGCCGAAGTTGGCATGCCATATCCAAAGATCGTGTGATGCGACAGCTTCCAAGATGACGGTCGGAACCTGTACAAAATCAGAAGCATAAATTAAAAAGCATCAAAGAACAGGAAAGAGAGAGGACAAACCTTCTCTTTCCCTTGAAATTGTCCTGCCCAACCGGCTGGGCAATTCTTCCATGTCCAGTGCATGCAGTCAAGTGAGCCGAGCATCCCAGGGAATCCTCGCTTTGCACCCACTGTGAGAAGTCTTTCCAGGTCGGCTACCGTCGGGTGTCGAAGATATTCAGCTGAGTAGATAGCCACAATCGCGTCACAGAATCGGTCCATGCTCTGTAGGGAAGTAGTCTCCGATAGTTGGAGATACTCGTCATTGCAATCAGCCGCACCTCCATAGGCTAGCATACGCAATGCAGCCGTGATTTTGATAATGGGCCTGATGCCCAATTTCCCGCAAGCATCTGGCCTTTGTTGAAAGTATTCGTCGTGTTGTTCAACAGCCTCAGCAATCTTCAAGAATAGGGGTTGAGCCATTCGGAACCGGCGCCGGAATATCTCGTCATCGTAAAGAGGATTTGCGGAGAAGTACTGGTGCAAGAGCCGCTGATAGCTACCCTCAAAGTCCCTGGGGCGATTTGGCCTTTTCCCTGGTTTGGATCCTCCATGAACAGGTTCAATTTTCTCCGCTTCATCGTCTTCATCAAGCAACAAAGCTGTAACCTCCAGAACAGCATTCAATTCTTGCTTTTTCCTACACATGAGTCGCCGTCGCCGAACAAGGATGTGGAGTATAGCGGGATCGAGTTCCATGGCGCCGGCGATGTTGAACTTTGAAATTGGTAGAACTTTGTTTATGATTTGTTTTGTGATCACATCAAACACGGTCTAGGGGGGATCGGGGGACATAGGGGAAGGCCCTTTCACAGTCCTAGATGCTATGTATAGGCCCTCCCGGTGTGAACTTGGAAATTTGGCAGGGACTAAACGCGCGCCGCAGTCGCGCGAGTTTGGAATTTAGGCACTTGGGTAGTCCCCAACGGTGGAGATGGTCTTAGTCAACCCAGCTGTAGTGTAACCCAGGTTTGATTAAGCCGAACATCCAGAAAACGAATGCGAATGCTCGAAGACTAAGCAAACCTAGCCAGGACAAGGACCTCGCTACATTATGAAGTCCGGCATCCTTTTTTGCCGGATCAAGTACTGCATGGGGTCATGGTCGCCTTGCGCCCCCGCTGTAATTGATGGTCCTTGTGTTTGCAATTGGAAGACTCAGGGCAGACGCCAGGCCCGGTTAAAAGGCAAGTGAACCGAATGGCCACATTGGCTCAAGCTCCAAAACGAAACGCATACATAAATATATGAATTAGCATATCGATCCGCATGACTAAGGGGTACATAACTTTTCGCATTTGATGAAGTCAATTGTCCCAGAAAAAGTTTGATAAGGATCCTAGGAACTATAAATTGTATCCTATGCAATTGTACGTACAAAGGAAGTGCAAACACAACCTAACACAACCCTCACTTCATATACGGGTCAGATGCCAGCGGTGTACATTTATTTATTTATTTACCAAGAAGTTAGAACCCTGATGTGCGCACCAGCCTGCAATTGGTATGTTTTATGTGCGATCTTTTTTGCCCCGAACTGAAGACTAGCTTGAGTGCATAATATGTAGAAAGGCGAGTTTGCTTGCCCCGCCTCAATCAGAAAATCGCGGGTGCAGGGGGACAATGCTGGCGGTTTCTTTCTTCTTGTTCTAGAGACTAGAAAGAAAGAAAAGTGTGTCGTGGACCGCGGCCTACACACGGGGCAAATTGCACTTTGTAGGCTGCTACATGGTATAACTCATACTATCCGTACTTCCTAAAGAATGCACAATCCGAGTGGTTGAACATCGACTTGTTGAATGAATACATGGGTAAGTCCAGCCAACTGGGCCCGCCGATCGGGCGATATGCATCGATTCCAATTCCAAGAAAGGAACCAAAGGAGGATATTCCGAGAAAGGATATCGAATGCGATATTCCGAGAAAGGATGTCGCCTGGCCATCCATTGCTACCATCCAGCCGACGCGACCTCTTTGTTCGACATCCTAACAAAGGCTTCTGTCGTTGCAAGCTAGCACTCACCAACCTTGCGAGAAGTTTGTCATAGTATTAGTGGCCGGGTCACGCGCATCTGATTGCTCACAAAACTCACCGATTCTAGTCTTGTCCCCCAATACTGAGGCGGCTTCATTGAGCTCCGTCCCGTAACTCTAATTACCTTCTACCGGCCCAGCCAACCTTTACAAGCTCAGTCTAAACACTCGAACTGCTCAGGCGACATACTTACATGCCGTAGATTCAATAGGAAGAAACAATTTCCGCGACCCCGCAAGACTCCAAGCCCCCTCAAAATCCCATCCTTCTCGCTCGTTGGTAGACTTCACCTAGCACGTCGATTGATACGAATAGTATGGAAGAGAAGTCACAGTCAGCGCGTGAGAAAGACGATCGGGGAAGCTCCAATTCAGATCCTAGCCCGCAACGTGTGGGGCTTCTAAAATCATTAATCATCATATTCTCTTTTACCTCCAAGCTGGATTATGTACTCCTTGTTCTCCCTGCTTTTCTCCTATCTGTGCTATCTGGTCTTTTACCCGCTTATATGACAATATTGGTTGGACAAGCCTTCCAATTATTCGCCGATTATACCATCGCAATCACGGGCGCAACCGACTCTGCTACTACTATCAACCAGGCCAAGGATACCCTACGGCAGCAAATCGGAGAAGTGGCTATTAAACTCGTCTGTCTAGGTTGTGCAACTTTCCTTCTCAGTCTAGCAACCCATACCCTCTGGGCTATCAACGGCTCAAAAATCTGTGAAAAGATTCAAACAACTGTCTACGATGCGGTCTCTCAAAGAGAGCTTGGCTGGTTCGAAAATGGAATGAAAACGAGATACCAATTTTTGGACGAAGAGTCAGAAGACACTGAGAGTCATCCAACAGATGATCGTTTTGTGACTTCTCAATCCCCAGCTGGTCTTATGGCGCGGTTTGCCAGGTGAGTATTTTCGTATACCAGTCAATAACTAGCTCACAAGAGAAATATGTCTGCTTGTTAAATCACACGTCCTCTCTATTCTTCCAGGCAAACAGAAGATATCCGAGCCGCGATTTCTGGACGTTTGGGGATGATCATTCAGTACACCGTAACTCTGCTAGTGAACACAATCCTTGCTTTCACCAAGTCATATAAGCTTAGCCTTGTGATCCTCTGTACGATACCCGTCGTGACCATCTTGACGGCACTATCGGCTAAGTTGACGGGACCTTTATTCCAAAAACAGAGTCTCCTTGAATCTACCTTGTCTACGGAAATTGGAAGAATGGTTAAGACGATCTCAATTGTAAAAGCTTTTAGCGCACAACCTCTCGAAATAGTCAAGCTCGTCCGTCTGTCCTCCCAGCTGTCAAAGAACTACATGTCTTTCGTGCGCATTTTGGCAATCCGTTTGGGGTTGTGCCAATGCCTCTCTCTTTTGATGTTTGTACAAGGCTTCGGCTTCGGTTCAAAGTTAATAACCGATCAAGAAGTTACGACGGGGGACGTCAACACTGTCTTTTGGTCTTGTCTAGTGGCGAGTTCTTATCTTCAAATGCTCATGCCTATGTTGACCTTCCTCGAGAAAGCCCAGCTGGCAATCCTTAACTTGATGGCGCTTATGGACCAGTCTTCGGGTTCATTGAACTCCAAATCACTTGAAGAAACTCTGAAGACTGACTATCCCTCTGACAAGGCCACACCACCAAACGAGAAGCCCGATTTACCCCCAAGGTTGGTTCCATTGAGCACGCTTCAACAAACGAAACACCGGTCACGCGCGTTGATTCGCTCTTGGTCGCCGACCGCATCCACCGTTACATCCTCATCCGCGAACAATTTCAATGCAGAAAAGACCAGAAACGCTCCCAAAGCATCATCGTGCGGAGCTCTTCCAACCCAATCCATGATCCCTAATCCACAGCCTCTAGTCCGAACCAGAGTCACTAAACCAGTGCCCCCAGAGTGGCGCCTCTCCCGAAAATCGCGCATGAGACATCTGAGGAAGCTGATACCAGCAGATTTCAAAGGGCAACTCGAATTGAAGGCTGTCACGTTCTATTACCCTTCCAACGAGCCCACACTGTACAAATTTCCGCCTAAATCATCGGTTTTAATCACTCAAACTCCGAACAAACCCAACCTAGATGATGTATCCATGTTCTTTCCCTCGGGAGATTTCACATTCATCATCGGGGAATCAGGAAGTGGAAAGTCAACCATTAGTGCTGTCCTGATGGGCTTGTATCCCATCTTGAAGGGTTCAGTTGAAGCTGATGAACTCGGGGCGATTGGTTGGCTGGACCCCGACTGGTTCCGAAATCAAATCTGTCTTGTCAGTGGGCTGACTTCCGCCTTTCTACTACCTGGGACACTCCACGAAAACATTGCGATCGGCGTCGGAAGTACTCGCGACTGGCGTACCGTCTCGCGTCTAGAAGTCATCCAGGCCGCTAAGTTTGCGCTTCTACACGAATTTATAAGCGACTTGCCCGAAGGTTACGATACCAAGTTGGACTCTGAAACGGACGAGCAAACCTCGGGGAATGAGCTTCCCAGCGGCGAAAGTGGTTCTAGGGGAGTTCAGAGTCTCAGTGGAGGGCAGAAGCAAAGGCTCGGTCTGGCACGCGCTTGGATCCGCAACGCTCCTATCTTGATCCTTGGTGGGTGATTTTTAGCCTTACTATTCGCAGTTGGTCTCTTTTGCATCTCACATTCTAACTTTTTGTTCTCCCTTTCGCTGGTATCACAACTTTGATCTCGTTAGATGAAGCTACCTCGGCGCTAGACTTGACAACGCAGGCTTTGATGTATGATGCAATCCGACAATGGCGGTCCAACAAAACTACAATCTGCATAACACACGACCTCAAGCCCATCGGACCGAAAGATTATGTATATGTTATGCAGTCAGGTCGGATTGTTCAAAGCGATTATCGATATAAACTTGAAGCTCAACCTACTTGTGTCAGCCTGTTTAAGCAAATGGCAAGAAGATCAACAAATTCTAGAAAAGCATCGATGGCGACTGCGCCCAAGGTCAAATTCCAGTCAAGCCTTCCGCGAATGTCTGATCAAACTTGGGAGACGATAGATACAGCCGAACTAAACGAAATCGAAGAGTTAAATCGTAACGCTCATATCAGGTTCTCTGTGCCTCCAGAAGACGGCCTTGGCTCTCGCTCAAATCCTCCCCCGGCAACACGAAAGCGAATGACATTTTTGGATGGATTCATACATGCTCTGAAATCTGACGGAAGTTTCCTTGGTCCTCAGCAAAGCGCCCTTTCCCAAGGATTCTCGTCCCCTCAGAATGCCTGGCGACGTTCAGTTCGAACTTCAACTCTGGAGGAGGGAAATTCTATTCGAGAGCGACGTCCCTCGCTCCGATCTAGTTTTTCCGCTGAAGAATTGACAAAAAATTCCTTGCAGAAAACGCGAGGCTCAAGATCTTCGAGATACTCGATGGACCTCTTCAAGTTGAATGGCGGCCAGCATCCAGGAAATAAAACAAGAAGGTCCAAAGTTCTGAGCACAGTGGAGCAAGAGGATGACGAATACCAAGAGTTCACTGCCTCAGTCATGCTACAAGCCAGCAAGATAGCCTCAAGTCGCAGAAATCAATTCAGCATCCAGATTGACTCTAATGCAGACAGCGGGGATATTTTAACTACAGAAAGACGGAAAAAATGGTCCCCTGAGGAATTAGCAAATGTAGACGGCGACCGCCCAGAAACAGTGCCTCATAAACCCAAATGCAGATTTATCCGAAAACTTCATCACAAGATCAACATGCCCACTTCCTCCACATCCACCTGGTCAATCGCTCAGCTAGTGAAAAATATCGCCCCCACGTTCAATCAAAAATGGCTGACCTTTTTTGGCTGCCTTGTCAGCATTGGCTCGGGAGCAATTACGCCTCTATTCTCTGTTGTCTTGGGAAACCTACTGGGTAAAATTGCCAACCCGCCTCCTGGTTTTCTTCTCCAAAACTCGATCTATATCATTGTCATCGCAATCGTCGACGGGATACTTGCATTTTTAAGAATATTCATAATGGAGAAGGCGAGCACAATGTGGCTCGAGAGCATGCGTAGTGTTGCATTTGAAAAAATCGTTTTGCAAGATCAAGAGTGGTTCGATAGGAGTGAGAATTCTCCCCCAAATTTAATCAGTCGTCTGATTAAAGACGGGGCCGATTGCAAGGATCTTATCGGCCAGATATTAGCCGACATCTTGACCGTTGTCACCCTGATTGCCATTACCTTTGTTTGGGCTCTAGTTATAGGGTGGGAATTAACCCTTGTGGGCTTGTCACTAGCGCCGATATTCTTCTTCATCGTCGGTGGGTGCGGAAAGGTTAGCTCTAGGTTTGAACAGCTCAATAAGATTTTGAGAGAACAAGTTGCGAACCAATTCCATCTGGTAAGCAATGTTGCCCTCAGCTTATTGATATTTTTATTAAGTAAGACCAACATGATTTTCCGAAATCAACCATAAAAAGACCATTAGTAATACCAAAGCGATTCGCGCAATGTCACTCGAGCCTCTCATGCGAGAAAGATTTGTTGAGTATTCAATCAAATCTCGAAAAATGTTCATTCGGTCCTCCCCTTTACATGGTATATCATCCGGGCTAAATATTGCCATGACGTATTTGGCCGACGGTAAATTGTTTAACTACCCCATGATCCCAGGTATTGCTTACTAAAATTAAAATCAAATTATAGGTTTGTTATTTTACGTCGGGGCGGCATTGGTAATGAAAGGTCTTTACACCTTTGAAAAGTTGCTTCAGGTTTTCTCGTTGATAATCTTTTCAGTAACTTTTGCTGGTCAAATCGTTGGTACAGGTAAGCTTTTCAATGATTCCCTTTCGATTGATAATTTGTTGGTGATTGAATTTTTTTTATTGGGTGCTTCCAGTTCCTTCTTTTTCAAAATCAGTGAGGGCTGCGATGGATTTGATCCGACTCGTCTCATTACCAATTGGATCCAAAGAGACAAAAGGCGACTTGAGAATGCCACTCAAGGGCCAGATAGAGTTCCGCCAAGTCGATTTCACTTACCCATCAAGACCAGACTTTCCTGTGTTAAAGGGTGTATCATTTGTGATTCAGCCCGGTGAATGTGTGGGTATTGTAGGGTAAGCGAACTCCTCCACATCTCTCAGATGTAAACTGATCCCCTTAACTAAGAGCTGGACTTTCTTATCTTCAGGGCTTCTGGTTCCGGAAAATCAACCATAGCCGCCTTACTCCACAGGCTCTACGAGCCCAATTCAGGCTCTGTCAGACTGGATGGCTTCAACATCTCACAGATTGATGCACGTCATGCAAGGGAGCAAATCGGAATGGTTACTCAACATGCAGTCCTGTTTAACGCGACGGTATTCGAGAATATATCTTATGGCCACATGCCGCGTACCCGAGCGAACAATAATTCGGAAAACATGAAGAAACACATCATCAAGACTGAAGTTGAGCCCGTAATAGAACAGGTGCATTTAACTGACTTCATAAATCGTCTACCTCTGAAGTTGGATACGAAGATTGGCGAGAACTTCGACCTTATTTCCTCTGGTCAAGCTCAAAGACTATCGATAGCTCGTACACTCTTGAACAAGAATCGGAAGATTTTGGTCTTTGACGAATGCACTTCGGCTCTAGATGCCATCAATCAAACAGAAATACTCAAGACCATTATGGAAGTCAAGACCGGCAAAACTTCGGTCATCATCACCCATAAAGAGGATGTCATGAAGTTGTGCGATAGGCTCATCGTGATGGACAAGGGGCGTATTGTAGAACAAGGGACTTATCAGGAACTTATCGTCAAGCAGAACGGGATTTTGAGCACTCTGAGCAAATGCGGAGAATATACCGCTTAATCCTACCCAACCACTTTCACATAAACCACACTGTCTCTTGCTTCATTAATTTTAGTTTCATTCAGCGCATAATTTATAGTCTTCTTACTATTGTGAATATTCGATTCCACATTTCAAAGTATTTGTAGCTTATGACAATCTCTTTCACTTGCTATTCTTTTGGGTGATTGGTTCAATCTTGTATTTATTAGTCTTCTCTTGAAGAAAGCTACTTTTTTGAATGAGCAATCAAGGAATGATATTTTGAGTTGCTCTCAATTTTATTATTGCATTGCTTGAACAATCTATGCTATAATCTTTTCACATTTGAAGTATTCTCAATACTTTGCACTTTCTCTAAGGCTTGAACAAGAGTCTATACATCTCACATGATCTTTCCAGTCTTAAGTCAGTATATTTATTTACATTGGACCAATCAGATTTTCATAACCTTAAAGCACTTCATACAACATGCAAGATTCAAGCTACACACCACTTGATACTCATGGCTTAAATCCACTTTAGACTTCACATCAACAGTAAAGGCAATTCATCATCATCACACAACCAGGATCATCAGTGAAATATCAATCAGCACAGTGTACTTAGCTCAATGGTTAGAGCATCACTCATGAAAGCTGAGGTTGTGGGTTCAAGTCCCACAGTAATCAGCCTTTCTTTGTACTTGTTCAACAGGTTATGAGCCCAGGTAGCACATGCTGCTTCACAATTGAACTTGCAAAGACTGGTACCACTTGCTAGCAATCATGTTGGAGTGTCAAACTATGCACTGCTTGATTCATTCACATTGCTCACACATCCATGTAAGACTTCACATCAGCATTGGAGGCAATTCATCATCAGCATCATCATCAGATCATCATCATCATCACAAGCATACATCACTAATGTATTCAACATACAGCAATGATTACTTAGCTCAAAGGTCAGAGCATCAAACATGAATGCTGAGGTTGTGGGTTCAAGTCCCACAGTACACACCCTTTCTTTTCACTTGCTTAACATTTCAGGCTTCTTCAAACTCCATCCAACTGATTTTATTATTATTTGAGTTGTTTTTATAGCTGATTGATGGAGATATTAGAACCCTTCATGTTGATTTGGAGCCTAACTTAACTCAAGTCCCCTCCTCCAAGGAGGCGCAAAGACTTGCATATAATGTGTCACACTCACATCTAGCATGAGGGCAACCAGCCATTTGGCTGGGGACATCACTCACGCCCCAATATCCCCCACAACAACTCAGATTCATGTCTTGCTGCCTGTACCATTGAAAACCTTGCCATTTTTTGGCCTAGAATCAACCCAGAGAGCACAGGGTACATGGCACAGCTGGTAACTAAGGAGATAGATAAACAGGTTTTTGATCCGCCTGAATCACCCACAGATAATCCCTTGGATTGATCTGGAGATTTATACATACTTATCCAACACCATACCTATTAGATATGTATCTCACTACAACCATACTACAGCTGTTCCCAAAAGCCTTGTGGTTTTGGGAGCACTGTATTTCAGAAGAATTTTTTTTGCACCTCTCTTTTTAGCACCACTCTCTCCTGTACGTGGCCCTGTATGGCCACAGTACTTCAGGCAAGAGTACCCAACTCCCACATTTTTTGAGTTGAGGGTATGGGAGTTGGATCATTGTGATCCTCTTGATTTTTTGGTGTGGAGCCGGTCATCATGTAGAGGCTTGCCGTCCCCTGCCCGGCAGCTGGCAGGCATCCGGACCCCCACCAGGGCCTCAGCAGCCAAATCACAACCTGTACCGTCATCTGTACAGGCCGTGAGGCGTAAAAAGATGGTGGTGCTAAAAATTTTCTTTTGAAATACAGCACTCCCAAAACCACAAGGTTTTTGGGAACAGCTGTATGTGAACGTCTCTATTCTTTCAAATTTTTCAATAATATGCTAAGCTAATACCCAAAAAACTGTGAGAATCTTATCGATCCGGCCCAAGCAGAATCTTCAGGGTCAAAAAAGAGTATATTATGGCTTTTCAAAGTGCCCTTACAAAATTGGGCGGCAAGCAGCCGTTTTTGGGTCAAATTTTAGAAAAAAAAAAACAAAAGATGACTGAGAAGGCAAGGTACAATGGGACGGAATGGTCTATCAGAAGGAGTTGTGGAGTTTTTTTAATTAACTTTTGAAATCATTTTTCCTCATTTGCAAACTAAGAACTCAATGTACTTGGGTGACAGCCCCAACTTTACACATAAGCCTCTCCTTTGGAGAGCGTCTCTTGGGTGTTGGAATTCTATTCCTTGTCTTCGCCCTCAAAAGAGGAGATTATCAGGTTAGTTTATCACCTTGATGAATAAACTTCCTGAAAGACAAATCATTATCACGCTGATCACTTGATTCTTGATCATGTGTAGAATCAAACTGTTCCACAGAAGAACAAGAGCAAACCAAGCATATAGCTTGCGAATCAAGAGTTCACATCAGAAGTGTAAATCTTAATGATGATTGTGATCAATCATCGAGCTCTAGGTGAGTTTCGATTATTGATCACAAGAGATAGAGGAAGGAAGCAAAGGAGAACAATAATTCTAATTGCTTCGCTCTCAACAAACATCATCAATAACTCTTTAGTTTACACTTGCACAAAAACAACTCAAACAAACTTATCAATAGGATCTTTCCTTCAATAGTTGGTAAGCAAGAAGTACAGATCTTGCAAACCTTTTTCCTTTAAACAGGAAAAAGAGAGTTACTGATTTTGTTGTTTGATGAACGATAGTCAATTCATCCACTAAACAACAATCATCAGCTTTAATTAAGAAATAAGTTTTCTTAATAAAATAAAAGTAAAGTGCTTCTTTATTTTGATGATTAACTTGAAGAGAACTGGAATGATCGCTAATTTATAGTATATTGATACAGTTATCTCTTACTTATTATAGTCCAGATAAATCAGTTAAATTATCTTCATTGCTATCTATCATTGTTATTAGTTGAATTAGCAGATTTCATTCTGCCTTCAGGTATTATCTTCATTTATTTGATTATCTTATTCAAAATGTATTCATAGCTTATTATTAAAGTAGAATACTTACAAAGAAATAAATCCTTCAGTTCTAAATTCTTTCATTGGGGACGCGGTTTTGGCCCCCAACACCAACCCTCTGATTGAGAGGCTTAGTTAAGCTAGATTTGGAGCCCCCCCCCCCCCCCCAAATGAAGTGACACTGCCAAAATCTTGGTGTTGTTCCAGTATGCAGTGTCATGATGAATTGGATGTGCAGTTGGTGTGGATAATGGGGAAATCACACACCCCTGAATTGCCATGCTGATGCTGTTATTTGTAGCAACAGACTGACAGCAAGATGCACATAGTGTGGCAAATTCTAGGCTATGATTGATGACTTTCTGTTGCCATTTAGAGTTTGATTTTAGCCCCTCTAACTTTCAAGTTCACATGAGAAGTTCTAAATTAAGATCACAATCAAAATCAAAACCAGCTCATGGAAGATCACAAGGTTTTTTGAAAAAATGATTTCTTTAACAACAAGTTAAGATCTAAGGTGTGTAAATCAAATTTTGGGAGGGTTTTAAATTGGAATGGGAAGTCATACAATGTCTCTTCGGTGAAGGGGGTTGAAAAAGTCTGGATTTTGGCAAAAATCATACCTCTTTTCCAGGAAATAAGAGTATGCTTGGGCCAATATCCTCCAAGAGCCTAGAGATGGTCACGGTGAATCCGGATATCCGCGCGGATGCGGATATCCACTCACAATTTCAGCGGAATTTGATATCCGCATCCGCAACCGCAACCGCTGGCGGATATCCCCTGGTGCTGGCGGGTATCCGCGCGGATACCCGCAGATACCCGCCCTTTAACTCGGCGGCGAGGCAGCCGGCTGGAAGGGTTTCCTTCCAGCCGGTGTGAGAACTCCTTTGGGAATGGTGGCAGTCCTGTGAGGGGGAAATATCAGATGAGATATCACGTATGTAACGATCTACTACAACTGTTACGGCTGGTTTGAAAGACCTGCCCCTCTATTGTACTACACTAGAGTTAACACAACAATTTATTTATTGTTGTGGCAAAACTGATGATAGAGAAAACTATGTGTAGCAGTCTATTATCAAACCTAGATCAATGTGGATTCAGCAGACTATTGGAGTGGAAATGTTGAGTAAGAGGTGTTTTTGTTTTTATTTTTATGTATTTTGAAAAAATGATTGACGTATGTACTGATGATGAATGTGAATTTATGAGATGATATTGAGAAAAAAAATGTGACTATTGAAAGTGTCTTTCCCTTCCTCCTTGAATCTTGGTCAAGAGCACAATGGTTTAAGATCACTGTCTCTTGTTTGAGATCACAAGTTGTACTGGTTGCTACTTTCTTTTTCCTATGCTTCTCAATGTCTGGATGATCTCAATGGGGCACTTGATTAAGATCACACTGGTTAATGTATGGATTGATTGCTCTGTTCTGTCTGGTTGATGATCAGATGAGATGATAAAAAATTGGAATGAGGGGGGAACACCCCTCCTTAAATAGTCTATTTTACAACCCGGCTGACTTGTGGTTCTAGTCCTAACCAATAATCTATAAATGGCCAACTTGTGGTTCTAGCCCTAACCTATAATGAATATGCATCTAATCATCTGGCCAAATTGTGGTTTTGCTACTATACAAGATTCTCAGTGTACCTACAAACAATGTGGCCAACTTGTGGTTACACTATGCAATAATCATTTTTTTATGCAAATAAAATTTAAATCCCAAATAATTTTTGACTGAGTGGAGCTATCCTAGTGGTTCCAGTGAGTGACTATGGGTTAAATGACCCATAGAATGTGATTATGCCATAATACGCCTAAGAATATATGCCCTTCTACATATTGGACCGTGACTTTATGCAATTTGATACTTGAAACACAAATGGCACACTACACCGGTGAGGTACACGTACCTCGCTGACCGGAAGGATTTCCTTCCAGTCAACGAGGTACATGTACCTCGTTGGCCGGAAGGATTTCCTTCCAGTCGACAAGGTACGTGTACCTCGCCGGCAGGAAGGATTTTGCAACCAATTATCCCCGCCCATCTCTACAAGAGCCCCCAACTTAAGGGGCCAATTCCCGATTTTACTGGTTTTGACAAGCTTCACAGACCTAAAGTATGCAATTTCCAGAGTACCTTTTTTGACCCAAAGTTACATTTTTGAAGCTTATTCAAGAGTATGTTTTTGGGATTTTTGCCAATCTGACATTCTCTCTGAATAGCCCTCTTTTGGAGGGCTTTCAAGGGTCCTGTGAAGAGGATTGATTGACATTGAGTTCTCCTTGGCATGGAGGCGGTCAATATAACATAGGTCTTCCCAACTGATTTTATGTTGGCTGGGCCCACAAATGTGTGAACCCTTTGTTGCAATTTATGAGGGCAGTTCACGTTTCAGCAAATTCTTTGCTGGTCTTGAACAAGGTTTGTTTGCCGATGCACAAACCTCAAGAACCTTAATTGTGGGATTTTGACTCCAAAGGGGAGCCTCCCACTAAACGCTTTTGCTTTCCTATAAACCTTAAAACAGCTAGTCTAGCAAAGTTTGACTGCTGATGGTCAACATTGGAGGACTTCCCGTCGGATCTGGGACCCTCGCAGAAGTCAATCTAGACCCGAAAACTCTTAATTCTCGCAGAGAAATTTGAATTTTGCGGCTCTAAACCAACTCTGGGAGACCCGCAGTTGTTGACGGGAAGTCCTCCATTGGCAGTATGTGAACCCAAGAGCCAACATGTTCAAAAAAGGGGGGATTTTTTCAAACCAGTCAATTATATAATGGTGGATTTGGTCATATTTGATACCCCCCATTGGCCACCTCCAGCCAAAATTACCCTTCAAGCTAATGATTAATGCAGGTTCATTCAACTCAACAGAAGTTCTCTACTCAAAGAAAATAAATCATCAGCCCTCTTCAAACATAAGAAGGGCAGACCCCTGGTTCTCAAGACTAACATCCCATGTAATAACTGTATTGTAGGGTTGTCAGTGCCACTTTTGACAAATTGGACATCAATGGGTGTCTAAAAAACCTTCCAAAGGGCATTTAGCTGGCACTGTGGCACACTGAAGTAGACCAAGGCACCATATTTCTTTTACTGAATCACATTACATCCTTTAAATTACAAGAAAATGAAATACAAAATCATCCACTTATGTTCTGGACACAAATCTTTGGTGTGGCTGGAGAGAGGTTTAGGCTTTGCTTGCAGGAAGATCTTCTGACATTGGATGCATTTTGCTTGCTGCCTTTGAGATTGGCCTTTTTGTGAAGTTGACATTGAAGAATCTGGCCCATTATGGACTATATGGATTGGTTGAGTTAGAACCTATGATGATGTCAATCTACTATCTTGGATGGGTGTCATGGTGGATGTTAAAAACACAACTTGTATTTGTCAAGCTCTTGTACTTGGATCTTGGACTGTTGGAGTCACTCACACATTTGCCAACAACCCTACCATTGAGTCATCTAGATTCCAGATCCCACTTCACAATTGGAAATGAGTTATGTGACAGCCTTTCAGTCTTCCAAACTGTAATGGGTTTCTCAGGGCTCTTCATTGTGCAGGGAGAGCCATTGGACTCTCACGGCCCTCCCTGCACAAGTTAGGGTTAGAAGTCTGTGCTACCCTCTCTTTTTGAAAATGTGACAAGCACCTTTAGCCTGCCCAAGGGGGTGGCATCAATAAAACCAACTGTATTGACTTGGAAAATATAGTACAGGAAGCTCTACCCCCATTTTGTGGTCAAGAATAGAAATGTACAAAAAACATGTGGCTGCCAAGAATTCTTTCTTCTGTTCAATGATGACCTTTGAAAAGAAAATCCAATGGGACAATTAATTTTGATTCAAGGTCAGCCAGAGAATCAAGCCAGTGGGTCCATAAACACAACTCATCTGTCCATAAAATCTTGTGCAGTCCTTCATGTCTGCAGATAAGGAAAGTGCAAACAAGAGATAAACTACTTGATAATCAAATTGTTTATTTTTAACATCTTGTCAGTTGGCATCCATTAATATGATATATATACTTGAGGGATGGAGTTGAACCTCCAGTTGTCAGCTCCTCTGAGATAAAAGTGGGTTTTTGAAAATTCCGGGCTTCTATGTGCATACACCCGATCGGGATCCCCGGGGCACCAGAAGCGCCAAGCCATCCAATCGATCACTCGGCTATTCCAGAAAGCCCAGGATGTGGCCGGTGGGACTACAACGACTGCCTTCGATCGGTCAACGGCGCTACCTTCAACTAATACACCAGAAGACAACACAGTCCATCACTCACGCGAAAGTTCACCATCAAACAAGTCTGCGAAGAATGGCTGCTATCCAGCCAACACCGAATGGAGACCCTGATGGAATAACCGCCGATGCTCAAGAAATGCCGTACACGTTTATCGGTAATGTCTTCCTTTTTTTATTGCCATAATTATGTTGTGTAGAAAGTTCTTCTAACCGAATACGACGGGGATGTATTGTAGATATCGGATCGAACCTAGGTGACCCAGTTTTCCGAGGCGAATACCATGGCAAACAAGCACATCCAGGTCAGCAATAATATAGGCGTGACTCTTCAGCTTTGTGTATTGCATCGACGAAAGGCGCTGATGTGACGAATGATTCTAGATGATTTCGAGCAGATATTGACGCGTGCCCGGTCCGCTGGAGTGGTGAAACAAATCTTGACTGGAGATTGTCTAAACGGCTCGAAAGAGGTACGAGAATTGGCACGAAAATATGGTGAGTGTGATCATCTGATCATTTCCACTTTTTTTTTTTTTTTGAGCTAACGGGATGATATACACAAAATTTGATAAAATACAGAGGGACTCTATGCGACTGTGGGATGCCATCCTTGTCGAGCCAACGAATTCGAAGCGGGTGCTAAGAGTGACAGTCCTGCAGAAGTGGACAGGTCGGCCAAGGAATATCTGGAAGCACTGGACCAGCTCATTGCTGAAGACCAAGCCTCTGGTCAGAGTCGAGTCGTGGCTGTTGGTGAATGTGGTCTTGGTAAGTTATATCCATCCATTCTTAAAACTTTGGCTCCTGTCGATAGAAAAACGAATTCTCATGGACTTTTGCTCTTCCTTTATTATTGTTTTCATCTGTATAGATTACGATCGTCTTTCGCATTGCTCCAAAGAGATTCAATTGCGTTACTTTCCGCCTCAACGTGAGCCATCGAGAATAAATTTGTTTACTTGGATGAACGGTCATACAGAGTCTTCCAAACTCACCACCTGCGTAATCATATGCACCCTTTTGTGCTGGAAATTTGCAGTTGAGCTGGCGACCAAATACAAGCTCCCTCTATTTCTACACAGTCGAACGTCGGAAGCGCACGTCGACTTTGTCCGGATCATCCGCGCACATGAAGCTCGTCATACGGCGGAAGAACTCTTGCCTGCTCGCAAGAAAGGTGTCGTCCACAGCTTCACGGGCACGATTGAAGAGATGAAAGAGTTGGTTGACTTGGGCTTCAGTATCGGAATCAACGGATGGTCAGTGCTTTTTTTATTTTTATTTTTATTTTTTTGATCCTCAATGTTTCCTCCCAAAAAAATGAACAAAAAGCTGGTATTAATCTCGATTCATGGTCTTCAAAGATCATCAATAGTTCATTGAAGACTGAAGATAATCTAGAAGTCGTCAAAGCAGTGCCCTTGGACAGGTTGATGTTAGAGACCGGTGCGTAGCAGTTTAGTTTTCTGATAGTTGTGATATCACAGAAGGGGGTCGAGAGCTGAATGAAACGACGAATTTCTAAAGATTGTCCATGGTGTGAGATCCGTCCAAGCCATGCTTCACATCGATTTCTCTCCGAATTACCCCTGAAACACGCCTTCTCACCGCCGGCTATCAAGAAGGAGAAGCATCAAGTGGCGGACGAAAAGATGGTCAAGGGGCGCAATGAGCCATGCACAATCGGTCAGGTTGCTTGGGTGGTCTCAAAACTCAAGGGTATCCCGCTCGCTGAAGTCACGCAGAGTGCCTGGAAAAACTCAGTCGACATGTTCCCCTTGCTTTGATTCTCAAATCGGCCACATCATTATCGCTTCACCTTGTCTTTTTTAAAGTGGGAAATTATTCAATTGTCTTGGTTTCTGCATCCTCCTTTCATCTCATAATGTCTCATTCAACTCATCATTAGAAACACCTCGGCAACTAAATTGTGATTTCAAATTTTGTTCATTGTTATCTCATTTCAAAATTTGATCCATTTGCTAAAGTGTTCCCCATAATGCGCTCAAAAATGGCTCTGAAATCGCATTGTGAGTAGTTATTTTTCAATCTGCCCTTCTTGGTGATTGATCATTTTGTTCTTTAGATGTTAGTCTTTCAATGTGTTTTTACAACAGTCTAGAGTTGATTGAATCACGCTTGCTTCACTGATTATAACAGGATTTATAGAAAGAGATGCGATTATCCGAATACCAAGTCACTTCTGAGGACGTATTTAGCTCCTGCGGTGACTTCACGTGCTTCGTGGAGTAAGCATTCGGATCCGTGACGATGAATCAACGCCAAGCCAGCCACTGGGCTAACAGAAGCGGCGACGGAATGTTCTTGGGTTAGTCGTTTTTGGCTCCTGATCGGGGTGTTATAAAAGACCGTCTCTCCACCTCTTAAAAGAGGCTCGCCATCAGCCCCCGTTTGCGACTCTGCCTCCTCTTTTGTCGATTTTTGGATCGGATCCTTCGATCCAGTCAGATAAATTAATAACGTGTGTTCCGTCCATAGTGTCTCCGGCATCTCGGACTGGATCGCAGAGGATGATGATGATGATGATGAGGAGGAGGAGGAAAGATCGGACTTAGAAATCTGGACGGATTCGTCGAAATGTTTCTCGAACTTATGTCCGACCCGATATCTATAAAACCGGAGATTGGGGTTGAGGCCCCAACACCGGGCAGCCTGGGGGTCGTCATCCCGATGAGAGCCTTGTTCGCGGAGCCAGGCTTCACAGGAAGTTTTGAGGCCGGTTTTCGCCCAAAGGGTGTCGGCGAAGAGCGGGTCATGGATGGAGATCCGGTCGTTGTATCGGAAGGCCTCGCCGCGTTTAGGTGTCCGACTGGTGGTCTCGAACCGAAGGATATCTCCATCGGCCGTCCTCAGATGGTCCAGTGCCCGGATCACCCGTTTACATTCTTCCTCCGTGAGCAGCTCCCTCATCGTCATGATCTGCGACGGGATTATCGTCTCCGCTTTCAACTTCGGTTTCGGCTTCAGCATCGGCCATCCTACCGCTGTCTCCGTGGCTTGCTTGCCCGTCGCTGCTCCATTCGACGACGTTTTTCCTCCTGATTTATTCTTCTTGGTGTTTTTCGATTGTGCGGTTGGCATCATCTCTGGTATCTTGATGCGAATATCAGTCGAACTCAGCTAGCCCCGCCGAGCAGGTCGCGCCGACTTGTCCCTCAAACTCGGGGCGCGAGCCTATCGTACGGGGTCTACATACACAGTGGTCCCTCCGGTCACCGCCCACCCACCCACCCACCCGGCAAGGAGTGAATCTATTTTTTGAGCACTGCATTCACAGCAAAACAAGATATCATCTGTCTGCTGCACCGGACGTGCGTGCCATGCCGTGAACGGCGTGAGATATTTGGATATCTCAGACCACTGCAGAGGAGGCCTACATTAAGCCGGTGGAATACTTATTTATGTACCCATCAATCTCACTCAGGTTTCATGATTGGTTCTTGCAGCAGAGACCCTTTCCTCAGCAAGTTCCAAAATCGTCCACACATACATACATACTGAAACGGTAAAACGAAAAACCCACAATCGCACTGACATCAATGACTCTGCCCAGCCCAATTTCCGGTATTCTGGCATTGGTGGATGAATACCCGCTGATGAAAAAGTATCGAAATCGCAAGATAGCTCCAACCAGTCAGTCCTTTTGCAAACCTATGCATTGCCCATTAAATTTATCCTGAATTGCTAATCAGCCAATGTCTGTATTCAGTCCTGGTCCTCTCAGTAAGCCATTGAAGCACTCCTCAATTGCATGCTCAATTTCACTGGCCTCAAGCACTCCCCTTATTTGACCTTGGGTGGTTGCCACAGTTAATAGCTTTCAGCGGCTTGATAGTTTTCAACGTGTTCACACAGTCAGGATATTCTCCATCATCCATCGTCATTTTCAGTTCACTCATCAATCTTTCTCTTACCGGTGCTTTCTCTCTCCCCACCCCTATCACTCAGGGGAAAGACAACACACGACCAGTACGTTTCCAAAGGTTTAGACTTCCAGATTTACATCAATGAGGATTGAAAACCTTACATTCTTGGTGTGATGTTGCGTTTGGTTCGATAAGGTCATTTCTAGAACCGGGATATAACAATGAAATTATCACTGACAACGGTCGCAACATTACCTGCCAGCCAAAGGTGATAGCGCTGGGTGATAACTTTTTCTCAATCATGAATACTGGCAGCTACTTTCAGTGGAAAATTTCTGCCTTAGAAAATAACGAAGGGATATTGCCGCCGGGGTTAAAGATTCCCAAGAGGATCAATTTCCTCTACAATGCTGAACCCTTGGACTGTACGGTCAGTGCGGAAGGAGCTGATGAGGTTTACCTTGAAATAAATCACAATTAAACCCTTGCTGATGCTATTGATTCTCTGGGATTGCCTTTAGATTAATCTGGTTCAATCAGATTATAATTTTCAATACAGAGAGTTTTCATTCGGGTAAGCAACTAGTAAAACTACTCTAGACTCAGGTTCATCTTTCCTCTTGCAAGTCACACTTAGATATGTGTAAGTAGAATTTGTGCCAGTTGCGTGTTCGGGAAAGCCAAGTTCACAATGAAAGTGTGCACTTCGTATGACACTGGTCTTGCGAGGTATGTATGTAGTTCACTCGACGTCTTGAAATCCCTCATTTTACTTTTTTTGGTTGGTATATGAAACTTTCGGACTTTGTTTGATATGTGTAGTTTCGGCGATGCTGAACTGTATGACGAATTGGCCAGTCGTTTGTGAGCAAGCCGTCTCCGAAGACCTATCACCATCCCACTTAATGCGACCCAAGAATAACTTACCCAATCAACATCTAGTTATGAATTGGATGCCTTTTACAAAAAGTTGTCTTTGCCCCCTTATAGCTTCAGGCGATCAGCATTTCCCCCAGGTTATAATGAGTCCCAAGACGATTCTTTGCGAAGAACCCAGATCAGTCGACGCGACGTTCTCAAATTGACGCTGAGACTTGCTCCCGTGAAATTCGTTCCAATAGCTAAGATATTCATCGGATTAGAGGTGAAAGGATATGATGTGACTCCGACAATCGGCGAGCAAGACTCAAATGATGGACCGGTTGCAGTTATCGATGGGGTGGGCATCGGGTCACCTGAAGGTACCGATCCGATTTCGATGCGCAATCTCACCAGGCCCATCATGTTGGATGCTTTCCTCAAAGCTGGCCAATCTAAATTTAGTATCAAGGTGGCAGATATTGGGGACGTATTTCCTCTTGGGTCTAACCTCAGTCTGGCCAAGGCTCCAGAGGTCATCCAAGCAATGTTCAATCACACGCTCGATATCAATCAGCTTTTGATGGAAAGTGCTGCTCAGGATTTGCAAGGCTCAATGATCGGTGTGAATTACTCCTGTGTTGAGACAAGGAAAGAATGGCAGCCCTTCCTTAAACTATTATCTATAGTAGTAGGAAGCACCATGGGAGTCTTTACGGCAATCTTGTCTGTGATCGTTATGGTCAGTGAAGAGTACTTGCTGGTGTACACATTTGCAGGTTTCCATCTTAAAGTCTCTGAGAAGTTAAGCTAAATACAGCTCTTTCTCTGTCTTCATAGTTGGCCCGCAGGATCGACGGTCGCAAAGGGCAGGAGGACCACATGGGTGAACTCGATTTCGAAGATAGCCGGAACCCATCGACTGCTCATATCGAGGAAGGAGAAGTGATTCCCCTGACAAAGATTGTAGAATAATCTGTTTTCCTTCAGGTCTTCATTCCCACACTGATTTCTATACACTTTGACCAATCTATTCCATTCAAAAGACCCTCTTGACGCAACATTCTGGTTTCTCCTTCTTTACCTTTTCTGCCTGTGTATGTTCTTCTTGAAATTGTCATAATAAAGTGAAAGTGACACTCGCTCCAATGATTGATATTTGGGGGTGAGGTGGGAACAATGTGTGTCTAACACACTCAACTGGATGAGAAGGCTTCTTTGAACTGGAGAGAAGAATAATGGTTATGTTTGGCTGCTACAAAGCCACAGATATCAGTTCATGTTCACTTTGGCGAGGAACCCATGCCATCTTAATTGTCAGTCCCCTATTTGATCTCTTGTCTTTTTCTTTTCTTTTCTTGAGTTTGATTTGGTTGATGGTGTTTTTTCTTCTTCTTTGCTATTGATTGCTGATGAACAGTGAGGAAACGAAACTTTTGAGGTGGGAAGATTGAAAAAAAAGTATGTATGCCACTCATGAAACAAAAAAAAAAAAATCTGATCAAATGGAAAGGACAATGTCAATCTGGGGTACGTCAACACACACACATATATGTATGAAAGAAAAGCTGTGAATGGGCACTAGGATGGATGTGGTCATTTAAAGCTACAAGCTATGTAAATTCCAACACGACTTAATCGACCGAATTTATTCGATTTGTAATAGAGCAATTGTGTGGGGTGAGTTGTGTGTGTGTGTGTGTTGAGGGTCAGCTGAGGGACTCGATGGCGCCGTCTTGCAAGCTGATTTTCGCCAATTTAGCCCATTCAGACGAGGGTCCAGAGGTTTTGACGACGAGGATTTCGGTGGGTACGAAGCCGTGGAAGTCGGCCAAGGATTTGGTGGCCCGCCCGACCAAGACGTCTTTCTGTTGCTGGTCCAAGTCTCCATAGACAATGCTGAGATGCGGGAAGTAAGCACTGAATCCCGCTCGCGCTTCCGGATCAGACACTAGAGACTCTCGCAGCTCGTTGTTAAGGCCCACTAGCTCCTCACTCGGTACGACTGCTGCTAAAACACACTGTCATTTTGCAAAAAAGGGGTACATGTAAATCAGTCAGCGGACACTCTAGCCTTCAATCGTAGATTCATATAGGGAAAGCGTGCATCCCTGAAAAAGGAGGTCCTTGAAGGATGCACTCTTCTGTGGATCACATGCAATCTTCCTTCTTGATGAAAAAAATGACTGACTTGGTAGAACAGTTCTCCCGATTGGATTTTCTGGAACTTGAGTTCCAACTGCTTTCCTTCTGCCAAAGTGCTCTTCCATTTCTTGACAGACTCAGAGACCACTTGTAGAACTAAATGAAAGAAAACGACATCCAAAGTCAAACCCCAAGACTTCGGAAAAAACATGAGAGAGAGAGAGAAAAAAGGAGAAGGGGAGGAAGGGATCCAAAAAGACTGACAATGACAGACCTTGATCGAGAGGCACCCGAGGAACTTGGTCGTCGGAGATCAAGGTAAGATGGGGGTCGAAGGGCAAGCAACCTGGAGTGTCGGAGGCCAAGGAGTGAATCAAGCTTTTCAAACGGTCGAAGTCGGGGCCGGTGGGCGAGAGCCATAAGGACAGCTTGGTGGGACTGGCCATCGGGGTGGGTCTGATCGGTATACAGTTGCAATCGGACTGAAACAACTTGAAATATTTATGTATGGGGCGAGGAAAGTTAAGGGGATGGTTTACTGGATGTATTTTCTAAAGAGTGAACACTGCTTAAATGTTTGCTGGGTCTCCCGGCCAGGCAACGGCGCGAAATCCTGGCCAAGCCGCTTGGAGACGGAGCCTCTCCGGGCGGTGCAATGACGCCCCTCTCACCGTAGATTGGCGCGACCCGCCGGATGACGTAGCTCAGGATAGAATCAAAACTCCCCCCCCCCTGGTTTGGGAGTCAACAAAGACATGGGTAACATTCACATTCATACTTTTCAGGAATAGGGGGGAGAACCATGCCAGTAAAGAAGCAGATAAATCTATCAAGTATACATGCTAACAAACAATTGATCCAAAGATTTGGGTGAGTTTAAGGTTGCAAACATGGTATACAAAATTCAATTGATCAGGTCAACATCACATTTCTTTTTTGTTTGGTTCAAGTGTGCAAACTTAACCAATTGAACTCAACCATTCTGTTAGGATTGAGGCCAGACAACAAGAAAGTCAAACAATCTGAGAGAAAGGGAAATTTCAGACAATGTCACAGGTTTACTTTTTTTTTTTTTTCTTATATGATTAGCACCTTGTCTATTGATCTATAAACCTCATTCAATTCAACCATGTTTGTGGTGTTCAAAATTACATATTCAGCTTTCTAATCAGATAATTTGGAATTTTGTCTAGGATTTCTCAATTTGATTTTCGAATTATACTACTGTTAGTCTGTTCCCTTCTCAATCTTGCTTTGAGATATTGGAAAGTTTGTTCTTGCCTCAAGGACAAGATTATCTTGGTTTATTGTGTTTTTTTATAAACCTTGAACCAATTCTCAATGTTTTTTTTTGCTTTGCTATGGATATAGGAAATTGTGAAGATACTTTTTGCCTGAGGTTTCTGACCTGCAGTATCCAGCCCTTGGCTTCTTCCATCCCTGCTCCTAGTCCTACCAAACATCCCAACACTTACCCAACATTCCAACACTAGGCCATGAACTGCCCACCCATAATTGAGCAGGTGCCACTAGTTGTGAGCAGCCATACAAGGTTGTTGGGGTGAACTTTTGACCCTGGTTCCAAAAATGAGGTCGGATTCCTCATTGGTTCATTCAGAAAGAAATTAGCATAGATTCTAGGGTTTAAGTGTGGATTTGGCCTTGGGTCAGATCACACGCCTGTCAAGAAACAAAACTTGAAAAAACATAGCTTTGGGATACATACATGGGATTGACTAAAAAATCATAATTGGTCCAACTTGGACCAATTATGATTTTTTTTTAGTTTGTGAAGCTTAGAGTCCAACTCCAAGCTTAACAAAAACATGGCGGAAAGAGGGTGAAGTTGAAAAAGCTGAGGTTGGACAAGATCCAAAAAGATAACCTATAATCTTAGACAAAGAGGCTCAAGTGACACTCAGAGGAAAAGTACAATCAGAACTGATGATTTCTTTTGATAGGGCTGTAGTATAGAAGGGTTAAATGTTCTAGATACATGAGGTTCAGGCTGTGGGTCCCAGAACACTAGCATGATGTATAAAAAGGAAAAACAAATAATAACAAAATTCCAACAATATGTACATATGTTCAGCTGAAGCTTTGAAAGCTTACAAATTTTGTGAAATGTCTGAGGACTGCTAATTTCTCTCAGGGAAAGATTTGAGCTGTACATCTTTCTATTTTTCAAATGAACAGCAAATCTAGATCTGTGTTACCTGAAAAGATTATTATTTTCAGGTTGTCAAGATCAACTCATTCATGAGCAGAATTAGGATGGTTGACAGTTCACAAAAGGCAGATTAGTCTGGCCTTCATCTGCAATCCTCTTGTTTCTGAAAAGATGTATATGGAATTTTCCTGAATTTTCATTGTTTTCTGCAAGTATCAGAATGATAAATGACCCTTTGCTACTGCTTTTTTGCTATTTTTTTAATGATCCCACCTAAAGATTGTACTATCCAACAGGTGCAACAAGCATCTTCACATCTCCCTGTTGGCAAAACTTACCAGGGCAGAATGAGCAATCAACCTCAAGGTTGAAAATGAAATAATGGGAGAAATCGAGCAGGCAGGGAGAAACTGGAAAGGAAAGGGTCCCAGAATTATTATCTACATAGCACAGCTTTTGAAATCATATCTACCCTTAAGCAGATACACACAAAATATTTTTATCTGGTATTTAATGGGCAATTTGGATGTCATTTGCACAAGATTTATTTGAATATATGTATTCTATGTATTACAAGTTTATTTATCATTTACAACAACGATTAAAATAATTAATTATACTATGGTGAATTAAAACAGGAAAATTCTTTATTTGCAATTCGTTCTTTGTCTTGTTCTGACATTCTTGGAGTTTTTCATTGTCATGGCAGGGCTTTCCTATAATACGGTCGGTTGAGAGATGTTTTGGCTAGAGTTGTGCCTGAGTTGGTTATACTTTTTTCCTTCCTCTGGGTGGCAGCTGGATTTTTCTGCTCCGATTAGAACAATCAATCCTAGAATGTAGAGCTTGTCCATTCGGTTTGAGCGAGTCCGACCTAGCTCATTAATTCATTGGGATGGAAGTCGGTAGGCAAGATGAGTTCATGTTTTGTTTGTGATATCTTAAGGTAGCATGCAAAGAGATGCTTTAACTAACCCGGTAGTTCGCTAAATCGAAGGCCACATAAAAGCGTTCCATTGCCTTCATACCCACTGCAAATGTTCCGAAGACAAATAAGAAAGTAACAGCGAAGGGTCAATAATTTTGGTAACAAGTATTCCACATCAGATGAGATACGTACAGATGAATTTGGCCTCTTGGTTGACTGTCGTTTGAAGTGGGCTAACGTAGCCATATCGATAGCCAGGCTCGCCATCGGTGATCAAACCGTCGGGTACCAATTGAGCCTCTGGACATAGGCACCACCGAACGTCCTTGGCGGTAAAGCATAAATCCTCCATCTCCGCTACTGAGGAGCTGGGTATCTTGAGCATGTACTTGTTAACCGATCCGGATGGGTTTAGTGACAGCCACGAGTCATCCCAGAGAGCTCCAGGGATCGAAAGCACGTATTTATCGAATAGGTCTCTGGGTAGAGCCGGCGTATTAGTGTAACCTGAGTTGATAAATCAGCGGTAGAATGATATGAGTAACTGGTCGAGCCTTTCTTTCAAGAAAAAGAAAAAAAGACTCCAAAGTTCACTAACTCGTATCGAACGCTCCCATAATACTTTTTCCCGATAGCTCATTTTCACCGTAAGAAATGGAAGCAGACCAATCCCACGTGCTGAAAAGAAGGATTCAGATATTTTCAGTTCTAAATCCATTTCTTGAGTGATGAGATACTTTGCTTGTTGGACTTACCGGTAAGAGCTGCAAGGGTACCATGTGAGATCACCAACAAATCTGCTGGGCTCTACTCCACCAATTGTGAGAATTCCATTGGGATCACGGTCCTTGCGCGTTGGCATGAATGATATCTACACATCAAAGAAAACGGAATTGACATGAGCTTTCTCAATAAGAAAAATTCTTACAGACAGATCGGCAAGTTACCCCAAACATTACTTTCTCCAACAGTCCACGGTCATACATTAGCCCGGTCGGGGTCAGCAGCTGTCCGATGTTTTCTTCGTTACGTGGGTAAGATTCGGAAGATAGACCAAGTCCCAGCAGGCCATCAAAACCTTCGAACCCCTGCTAGACAAGAAAAGTATCAGTCCTCACGAGACTGTTTTCACAAGTAAGACTAACAGAAATCACGTACAACAAGCTTGGTAACATTTCCAACCGTTGTATTGGTCAGTTTGACACTAGTCTCCGACTCGCCAAGGGTGATGGTATCAGTCACGAGTTTTCCAGTAGCGTTCCCGAATCCGTATGGAATGAATAGTTGCTGGTGGAGATCATATGTTGATTCAGTCTTTTTATATTCTAAGACGCTTCCGGTATACGTGTTGGCAGATCCAGTGGCAATGCCAAGGTTATGATACTCCGGGGGCGATCCGAATCCCACAGGTATGGTATATAGATGCTTTTCGTTTACGATAGGAATTGATGTCTTGATTTTTTTCTTCTCCGAGGTAGAACCTCCAAGACAAGCTTGGAAAGAAAGGGAGAGCACCAAGAAATAAAGGGTGGATGATGAACATCCTGTGCGGTGTGTTGCATTGGCAGAACGAGTTGAAGTGAACATTGAATGAAATAAAGGTTAGGGATATGATGCAAATTTTCGGTCGAGAAGATAGACTGCTTATGGGGACAACTTCATGGAATTGGCCCATTGGGCGGATCTCCATGGAGTATTTAAGCACAATCTGCAATGTAAGAGACTCATGTCAGAAGGAGTAGATAACCAGCCGCTGAGTCGCGGTTGATTCAGGAAAGGGTGGTGTTATTGCTTCTCGTCGATGAGCTCAGAGCCAGCGCCAAATTTCGAACGCGCAACGTGGGTAGCAGTACCATGTGGGGAACCGCTCGGAAGTTATAGGTGTCGTCGCAGAAACTCATACAGTTGGTTTTGCAGAACAGCAAGTCGTTTATCTTTCTACAAAATCTCAAGCCAGCCATTCGGCCTAACACGCATTTGGCCAGGAAAAGATAAATCTCAGGCTCGATTTCTCAAACTTGATAAGATGAGACAAGTTTGAGCGGAGGGCAGTAACACATCATTTACCCCAGGGACGAAAAGATTGCACAAACGTGCTGAGCGGTGGTGCAATTTTGATGATCAATGGCGAATCGCGTACATGCTCTCGAGGGCCGAATTTCTTATCGATGCAGAAAACTGAAGATGAGACCACAACGAGTTATACAGGTAAAGGGACTCTGACAAGTAGCCTTTACGTTACAGATGAGCTTATCATCACCTCAAATAGTCTTCGTTCGTAATGAAGTAGCTTCAACCACGACATCCGCTTGTCTCAGACAGATGCAATGTTGAACCGATTCATTGCCAATCTACACTAAAGTAAAAGGACATCGGAAGCAAGCCACTGATCATGTGTCTAACAGTGAGACGGAAGCAGTCTCGCCATGTGTTCTAATAAAGTCGTGGTCTACAATCAATCCACTTTATTTTACTTGACCGCATCTACGGAAGATTCCAGGCTTCTTTTGAACTCCCTTGAAAATCGTTTTGAAACCTTTGACCCTTCACCAGTGCACATGAGCTGGGGAAGTCTGATTCAACTTGACTAAATTTGGCTGCTTGCCAAAGTTGTCTCGTTCAATTTTACAAAGCTGGCCTGAAAAATAAAAGACCACACTTCGATTTAAAGGTTAACAACCTGCAAAAGATGGTAGCACTTAGTCTTACCCTTACTCCAACCATGTTGATTTCCACTTTGTTCCCTAACGCGCATCTAGCAGACTTTTGTTAGTCGGAGAGAAAATGCTTCTGTAGACAAACTGTTAGTTTACCCCGCCCGGTTTTACTCGAGCTTTCCAGAAACTGCGCCGGGCATTTCGTAAAAGTGTTGCCGCCCCAGACTCTCTACTGCGCCGTTTTGCCAACGGGATACATCGAGAATATATGTCAGGAGTGAGCACGACACTCCCTTGTCCAATGCTAATCTATCTCCAAAATCGCGTGCTGGTCGGTAGCTGTGAGGCGGTTTCACATCAGACTCAGACCAAGGAAGTTGGCCTTATGACACTCTATGCCCGTAATCCATCGCATCCATCACATCTCTTGCCATTCAGAAGAACGACTTGGGAAGCAGCTCCATGGGCTTGAAGAGATATACACCACAGGTGCAGGAAAACGTTTCGAAGCGGTTAAATTGACCGCTTCAGAACTTTTTCAATTGAATGGCAGGGGACGTCGCCCTGGAAGTCGGCGCAGAAAGTTTTTCAAAACGTAACAAGAAACGTTTGTGATTTTGTTTAAAAAAACGGCATCGAGACCTCGAGTCAACCGAAGCGTTTGCGAGAACGTTTTGATGTGGTTAATTAAACCAAAGCAGAACTGACAGATGACCTTAACGTTGATCAAAACGTTTGTGTAGTGGTTTTAAAAACCAAGATTCTAGTGCAAATCTGGGTTGAGGTTTGGTTGGAAAAACCAACACCCAACCAGTTGACAACGAAAATGGTTGGACATGAGTGTAATTGGTAGTTTCATAACTTTTGACAATGCGCATCACAATGCGCATCGATTCGCTCGCCCGTGCGATATAGATTTGTATTTCCCTTTGGGTTAATTTTTAAATGGCCATGGAGTGTTATAGTTACATGGATAACAGGCAATGAAATCAGAAGAATAGGACTAGCGATAAAGACTTGAGATAGAGGGATATAATGGGTATTCGAAGATCAGAACTAGAAATGGGTTCTCTAAACAAATCATGAATGTGAGACACAAGAGAGAGATATGATCAGCTGGCAGTACCGGCTGCTGCTTGAGTGAATTGAGTAGACGTGTCTCCTCCGAGTCTGGCTATCTCAGTGGCGATTTCGGCTTCGGTTGGAAGGGCACAGTCGTCCGGGTCAACCTCGTCCAAGGCGGTTTGTCCATCCCAGAGTCGCTCATCTTTGGCTAGGATCAGCTGCCCAAAGGCATACCTGTACATGCGGGTTTGACCTACTCGTGAATTGAGATCATCATTGATTTGATGCCAGATGGTTGGGGTTTCCCCCTTCTTCTTACCCTCTCGTTGGATACGGTTGAGGTTGATCATAAACCTAATATACGCGAGTCGGGCCCGTGTAGGCGGAGGGACCTGCCCATAGACCTGTTGTTTTGGTGTGTTCTTGTATCGGGGGTGCATCGCGATGAAGACAGACGAGACAAGTTCCTTAATCGAGGGGACTTTCTCTGGTGGAGAGGGTAAGTTCGTCTGAATCAAGCTGGAGAGCTTGAATTTGTCAGCCTTGAGCTGTTGTTTGATGAGATTATCAAATGAGTTGAGCCAGGCAGGATTGTCATTGTAGTTGCTCGGCAGCTGTTTGAGAAAGCGAGGGCTTTGCGAGTCCAGAAGGGTCTGTTGTTAGGATGTTAGTTAAGCTAGTGGTTGGTCTGACTATGAGTGGTGATGGTAGCGCTGACCTTCATCATCGAGTATGGCGATATGGCGTCTAGATTGGTGCGGGAACCTCTTTGTCCGTAGATGTCGAGTTTAGGATTGAGCAGGATCAACCGGATGTTGGAGCTCACGAGGGTCTTGAGGTTGGGGGTGTCTTCGTTGGTCAGTACCATCGTGGTTGCTGGGGATGCTGTGTTTGCACGGCCTTGAAGCAAGATCAATGCAACGGCAGCTGGCCATCGCTCTGTCTCCGGAATCTGATAGGAAGTGGTCAGTAATTGGGCTGTTTGAGTGAGGAAGAAGGAAGGGTGCTTACACTGAAGAGCGGTTGGCCAATGCGGGCAAACTCCTCATGATTGTCAAGGTTTTCTTGCAGTTGTTGGTAATTCTCGCGGATATAAGTGAGGGTTTCGGAACGGATCGAGGTTGAGGCCGAGTCCGATGAGCTTGAATGTTGACTAAGGTTGCTGACTGAGTCACGAGTGGAATTCCGGGGGTAGGGAGACAGATTGGGGAGACTGGTTTGTGATGGGGTTCGTACTGGGCCGATCCCACCTGCCTCACTGGCTCCAATTTGACCTGGATGCCCATGTGTGGGGGCTGGGGTCGGATAAGTTTCATATGTCAGTGTAATGGTGGTTGAGATGTTTGCTGGGACACTTACTATGCTGGGTCCGATGCCCAACAGAGGTCATCGGCAAGGGGGATGTTGATTGGGGGGTTGAATTATCCGCGATTTGCATGGCTCCTTGTGCTCCATTGCTACCGACTTGGGCTGGGGGGCCTGTGAGGCTATGTGCGGGGTTCGTTATGTGAAACAGAGATCCGGTTGAATGGGCCACAGTCGACCTTTGGGATGGTGCAAGAGATTCAGACGGAATCCCTGGGCCTGCCTTTGAAATCGCGCCAAGGTGGGGCGCACCGGAGGCAGTTTGATAGTGGTATTGGTGGGATGGGTTGGGTGCAATGAAGCGAGTTGCAGGTCCTGTAGTGTTATGGTATGTGTGGTGCTGCACATCAGTATGGTTGGGAAGTGGGGCAAGGTCGGGCCGGAAATCTCCACTGAGCGACTCCCATCCATCAGCGACTGCAGGGTCCCAGTCGAGTTCCTGATGGTGATGGCTGGCCATCAAAATGAAACCTGAGGGGTGGGTGGAATGTCAACTCAATAGATTAGGTGGTATAAGATCGGAAACATCACTCACTGTCCTAGGTCTGTTTGATAATATCCAAGGCAAGCTGTTTGGAGGGGAAAGTGGTGTTCAATTGATGCGTGGTCGGATTTCGGAGATGGGGAAATGCCGGGTTTGAGGGTGGAGTGGTCTGGCTGAAACCTTCTCCTCATCATCTCCGATCTTTCGCTGCGAGCACTGCGGTGCGCACCGGCTGTGTCAGACCGCTGGGGTTCCCCCGGTGTCCTCCAGCTCATTTCCCCTGCTGGACGGTCACTCTAGAGAATAATCCACACACTCCAACAAGTATAGCCAAACAAATTTCAGCAGCTCCTTTATTATTCTGTCAGACACACTGACTACGCAGCCGGGCCTCATGGACGATGACATTCTGGGTCTGCTGCCTTCACTTTGTTGATTTCTTTCACATGTTCCTTGGGTTGAAATGTGCTTTTTTGGGTCAATATTAATTATTTTATTGTGTTGTTACACATTGCAGGTTTTGAAAAACTTCCCAAATACCAAGGACAGCAGAGATACCGGTGCCTCATATGTGACAAAAGGACTTGTTTTGCTAGAAATATTCCCGGACACCTGAGAAGCAAGGGTCATCAAGATAAATTGGCGCTCCTGAATGCTTTCAATTTACCACAGCTTCAGCAAGATCATACAGGTGCTCAGGAAATTGACAGTGTCAGAGAGGAAATCAGATTTGCCAATGATACAAGAGGTTCACCAAACGATGAAGTCAACCACGGTCCAGATAATGCCGACCCTGCCGAGTGGGGCCTTGACTCAGATTTGGATGACTCAGGATCTTCCGATGATGGTAGTGAGATCAGTTATGACTTGGATGATTGGTTCAATGGTCAGGATGATGAAGAAATGGGCTCTGGTGCTTCAACAGGGCCATCTCCCACGAATTCTGACAGGGTTGATTTGGACTCCGCATGGTACCCTTTCGCCAATAAAGAGGTGAGTTGAGAAAATGAATCATCACTTTTGGGGTTTAAGCTGGCAGCTCATGATTTGTAATTTGGTCCCCATGTCCTCCGGGTAATCTAGTATCTAATTGCATCCCTGATGTTGGGCCAATTACACAGTTTCATGTCGCGCAAACTGTATGATAAAATTCGATCTATTTTAATATTGGGCCACTTGGATCTACCACACTGGGACACAATTAGGAGGACCAGAACTGGCATTTCAAAAATGTTAAATGCCGAATTGAAGCAGAACCTGTCTGTGCTGAACAACAAGACTTTCATGATAAGTTTGACAAATATCATTGGCAATGTAAGTCAAAGTGATTGAAAACGTATGGTAGTGTTACTGGAAAAAATCCACGCTGAATTGTGATTCATGAATTCTCACAGGAACTGGCCAACCCCTATGTAGTGCCAGACTTGGAATTCATTCCTCACGACCCCAAGGGGAAAAACATCTATGCCCTACACCAAAGTGTAAAATGGAGGGAAGATCTATCGCCCGAGACAAGAGTGCAAATGGTTGAATATTCAGGAAAACATTGGTACATATACGAGCCGGTCATGCTTAGATGGCAAACCCAGCCAATTGTGGTGCCCATTTTTTTCTACAAATTTAACAATGAAGTCTATTCCAAATGCATTCAGCCAAAATTTGAAACCTTACGAACCGAAGATGCACAGCCTGGTGAATTTATCATATATATACCAAACAACATCAAATTCAATGATGGCAACCTCATCGAAGTACCCGTATCAGACTTTGGGCTGCTGCATTCAGAAATCAGAACTGGTCGAGGGGAGAGATTTATGGACAAATGCAGACACCATATAAATAGCAAGTTCAATACCTGTTTCATCCTTTTTTTTCTTGCATGATTCAACAAAGCTAATCTGGTACTTTACACACTCTTGCAGCTCTGGGGCGTGGGGCACCCACCATAAGATATGAAGTGCCTAATCCATGGCGAACACGCGCGGGCGGAAAAGTGATTCGCCATGTCCCCATCACATTATATTCTGATGATACCTCTGGAAACAAGTCTAAAAGATGGAATAAACATGTCTCATACTGCTTCACCCTCAGTGGATTACCACCGGAAATGTCAAACCAGGAATACAATGTGCACTTTATATCGACATCAAACAGAGCTGGGCCTTTGGAGCTTGCTGAGCCCATAGTAGAAGAGCTAAAGTATGTCACCCAATTCACAAGTATCTGCACAGCCCATAATGTTGAACATTTGCATGACCTTTTGTTGCAGTGAATTAGCCACCAAAGGCTCAGTTGCATATGACATCAGCCTTGACCAAGAAGTGCTGTTCATGAGTGTACCACTCTGTTTCTTGGCAGATTCTCCAATGGCAGCTGAGATTACCAACACACCAAACCCTGGTTCCTCAAACAACCCCTGCCGTATGTGTCATTTGAAATGCCCCCAAGGCGGAGAAAGAAGCTCCATGAGCTATATCCGAGAATTTTTTGGATGTCCAAACCTACCAGGAAAACGAATTTGGAGTGAAACTGTTGCAAATACCCAGGACTTGTGGGTCACCTCTCAATCTAGCACCCAGAAAGAATATGAAAGAAAACAACAACTTTACGGCCTCAAGGACAGGATCAATTCCCAAATCATAGAACTGAAACACTCAACACTTGATGAAAGGCAACGTATTATTCAAATGCAGCAGGACACCCCACTCCGAATATTCAACCCATGTTGCTTCCTCAAAGGCTTTGATGGCTGCCTGGACACCCCGGTTGAAATACTACATGTAATCCTTCTTGGAGTGGTCAAGTATTTGTGGAAAGACTTCATGAGTAGAATGAATGAAGATCAACTAAATGAACTTGAGGCACGATGGGGAGCATTCAGCACGGAAGGCCTAAGTGTGCCACCCATTCAGCCCCGCTATATGATTGCACACTACAAGAGTCTCGTAGGCAAAGAATACCGGTTGATCCTTCAGTCTGCCCCATTTGTATTATTTCCTCTGATGACAATGGAGGAGATAGACTTATGGACTGCATTATGTCACATTGGAAGTATGGCTTTTCAGACACACATAGAAAACATGGATGAATACATATGGAAACTCACACATTGGATTAAGGTCTTCTTATTTAATGTGGCCCAAATGAATGCAAGGTGGGTCAACAAGCCAAAATTCCACCACTTAATTCACTTGGCAGAATCTATCAGACGATATGGACCTGCGGCCTTGTTTGCTACAGAAAAATTTGAAAGCTACAATGGTGTGGTGCGGAACAGCTCAATCCACTCGAACAGACAGAGCCCAGGCAGAGATATTGCAACTAGCTTCAACAACTATCACATCATGCGGTGGTTGTCATCAGGAACTAAACTATACAACCATGAGACCAAAACATACTTCACAGCTTCACCTGAAATTACAAATATATTCAAACACAATTTGAACATTCAACAATCAATGGGATACAACACCCGCTCATTACCAAATGGCCATCAGAGGCCTACTATCCATGGACCCCGTGGGAAACCAACCCCATATGAAGATATTCCAACTATTTTGAAAAGCAATTTCCCTTCATATCCCATCCAGAAAATATCAGCCTTGAAGGTAAACCAAAAGAATGTCATCAGGCCTGGCACATTTGTACTGGTCAGTAATGTTTTATCCCATGAATCTATATCCAGATAATTATGAGTCTGATCTCAACAAAAAACAATAATTGATGACAAAAATCAGGAAGAGTCCCCCAGTAATCAACATGGGACCATTGGATACGTGGAAAACATATGGGAAGTAGCCAGAAATCAATTTCACGTTCAACTTAATCGATGCCAAAAAACTGGAGTTCTACCACTAAATGGCACGACAATCCTTGTCAAAACCTTCACATATGGATATGTACCAGCCCAGGTAAGTTCATGAGTAATGAACTCACCCAATGTGTGTTTATATATAAAACCCAGCTGACAAGGATGGCAACCACTTTCAAAACAATCCAACACATCTAGAGCATCATATGCAGCTTGAATGTTCAGCATAACTGCTTTCAATCACAATGCTCAGTAGGCAGAAGAACCATGCCTCCAACAGGAAGACAAGAGGGCAACTCCATCAGTCATCATATCCAACACAGAGACACTAACAGTTTCCTGTTAAACAAATTCTCCCACCATGTCCCATCCCATCACCAAAATCACTCAGACACAACCATTATCCCCATCCCAAGTGACATGATGGATGCAGCAATGGAACAAGGCCTTTATGTATGGGAGAGAGAGAAAAATGGAAACAATTAAAACACAACCACACCAGCCTCAGTACTGATTAAAATTTCAACACATCTTGTCCTTGCAATAAGTATATGCATCTGTGGTATCTCAAATTACATCCATGTGCCAAGTGCCTTTGGAGTTTACCAGCTTGATATGGTAAGTGATAGGAGTATTTCCACTTATTCCCATTGTTTCATTCCCAGTTTTCCTCATTGTAGGACAAACAAGATCATCAGATTGGAAACATAATCTCAAAGAAAAAATAAGGAAAAAGAAAGTAGTATAGTAATTCCATATAATTAATCTTTGATTCCTAGATTTCCCATGACGTAGATAGAAGAAATTTCGATGAGGAAACAATAAATCAATAAAATTCTTAGTAGATGATAGATTTGCCAATTGAATAGGGTATATCATGTGAGCAATGCAATGACCAATTTATAATTAATCAGAAATAACCGAAAAAAGCCAATCAATTAGACTGCCGGTCCAAATCGTTCTTCAACCTGCCTAACAGTCGCAACGACACCAGCCACTATCAAACGAGCTGCACCCCGGCGAAATCCAGCTTTGACGAGGTCGGCTTCAGTCATTCCTTTGAAGGCCGACCAGTGATAGAAGTCGTTGTTGTCGATGACCGACACAGTGTGTTCGTCATCCGGGCGCAGGTGACAAATAAAGAAAAACTCAAACATGCTGATATCGACACTGGCTGAGTAGAGACGTTGACGTTTAGCGGGTGGTTGGTGATCAGAGGCTGCAGATTCATCATTGATAGCTTCCTCATTGGTCGCACAAATATCGGTGTGAGTGGTGTGGATGAAATTGGCCTCGGCCTCGCCCTCTGTCTCGGTATCGGTGGCTTGAATCCGCTGAAGCCCAACCAATCTTGTCAGTTGCCTCATTTACATTGGTCAGATTAGAAACAAGACATACCTCTGCTATTGCTTGATCATCATCTGTCAACTCATTGTCGGTATGATGGGGACGTGACCTCGCGTAAGACTCATAGTATTCTTCAGTGTGCTTGATTCGAACATCGCCAACAAATCCCTTTTTAGCATTCAAGAGCTTGCGTCGGAAGGCGGCGTACTTGGCTGGGAAAGGGTAGAAGTAGACGGGACCATAGGGACTACGAGTGGTGATGCGCCCGACCCACACGAGATGTCCTAGTTTCATCTCGTACTTGATTATGCCCGCCACGTCGTGATCTGCAGGAACCGTCTTAAGCAGCTTGAAAACTTTATCCTGGAAGGTCTTATACGAGATCGACCGGGTAGTGACATCCAAGTAAAGCATTGGGTTTGGAAAAAGATCCGAGTGCCTGCTTCCAACGTCCGGGTTAGCGAGCTGCAGGATCGTATCCACGATCCACGGGTCGTAGCGGATGAGGAGCCGCAATGTGGAAGGTTTGGGGGCTGCAGTCGGTTGCTCGGTTGCCTCAGTTGAATGTTTGATGGGTCGGGCAGGAACCATCTCGCCGGGGGTTTCCGACTGGATCCTTGCCGCAGGCGTAGTTGGTATCACCGGTGCCGAGCTATTCTTATCGGGCAACTTGCTCGGTGAATCGGCGGTAATCTTCTCGGCAGGCATCTTCGGCGTGGTGGTTGTGAAGTTGGACATCTCGGAGGGGGTTTCGAGAGGCAGCGATGAGGGGACAAGGGACTTTGAGATTTTTCGATCGAGTCCACGACTTCCGGATGGATCGGACACGAGACCAGCAAAAGGTTCAAAAAAGGAATGAGAAACCTCTTGATAACTTTTCAAAAGTTGGTCAATTGGTGTTGATAACTTTTCAAATGTTGGTAATCCGGATTACTAACTTTTCAAAAGTTGGTAATCCGGATTACTAACTTTTCGCATTCCAAAAGTTGAAGCGAAGTAATCTAACCAAATTCCGAACATTCCTGGTCGAAAAGGTTAGAGGACCGGCTGAAAACCTTTCTCGAAACTTTTCTCGGGCCAGAAAGTTGAGCGAACCACTTGGTCAACCAACTTTTTCAAAAAAGTTGGAGATCTGGTTCACAAGAACTTTTCTTGCACCCGTGGTGTAGAGTTCACAGGATCATTTTCAGTCAATTGAACTGAGTGTCAACGGAGATAGATATTGAAGCGATATGGATGTGTAGATGCCTGCGGAAAAATTTATCTGGCCAATTGTGCCAGAGGCGGATTAGGTGTGACCAAGTTTGAACCTGTAGAACTTTGCATCTCTAGCAATCCAAGAATAATTGCCTCTGGAGAAGTATTCAAAGCCCTTCTGAACATTATAGAGATGATGTAGGTTTGATTCTGCTTTGGCGGTGTCGACAGACAACGCTCAAGCCCGATGTTGAGCCCAAAGTGATGGGTGGTAGAGGAGTAACATTGGTGCGGTGCAGTTATATAATTGGGCAATGAGTTACTTTCTTATTTAATCATTACATCCTTCTATGGAAGCAAAAGCTGACAGGTGTGCGCTGGCAGACCAATACAACAAAGCTCTTGCTCGGGTGAGATTTTCTTGAAACACTTTTTACTAATAATCGACTTGGGATTTCTGGGTAAGAAGATATATAGACGCGGGTAAGTATATCAGATGGACTGCTAGAAGTTAAGCTGGCTAACACCACACGGCAGTGCTGGATCAAGATGTGAAAGAGATGTTCAGGAGGGGCACGTTCAGGAGTCAAAACAAAGATAGGTGCCTAAGAATTAATCATACATTGGCCAAAAAGGTTTGTGAAAAAAGGGTCTGTTTTAACACCCACAATGGTTTGCAGGAGTTTGTAGCCCATTTGAGCTGAAAAAATGGCAAAAACTTACCTTGCAGCATTGTTTAAGCGCTCAAACTAGATGCTACAGGTACTTGAGGGACCTCTTATAGGTATAAAACGGTGAATAAGCCTCACTTAAACCCATATTTATGGTTTTGAGTATGGCTTTTGGGAGGCATGACAGACAAATAAAAAAGAACCACTGGGTTAAAAGCCTAACTTATCAAAGTCCCTCTGAAATCAGACAGGGGATGTTGCTGTCCCACAGGGACCCTCCAAAGGAGGGACTTAGGCCTTAAGTCAAAATTAGCACTCTGGCCTAAATGGAATTTATCAGAACAGATTGAATTTTGGATTGAATGCACTGTAGCAACGCTGGGCCAGCTACGCTAACCGTAGCGTTAGTGTGGCGTAGCGCAGCGGAAATGCGCTACTTTGTAGCGTAGCGTTAGCGAAAAATCCACCTTTCTGCGCTAACGCTACGCGCAAAGGGCACAAAAGTGCGTTAGCTGTTAGCGTAGCGTTAGCGCAGAAAGTTGGAATTGCGCTAACGCTACGCGCTCAGGGCACAAAAAAGTGCCCGCTATGCCGCACTACAGCAATTTTTAGCGGGGTTTTTACCTTTTTTTGCCGCTAAAAGCGCTGTAGCGCAGCGTAACGAAGCGTAGCGGCTGTAGCGATGCGCTAACACTACCCAAAAACAAGCCGCCTGTTAGCGGGGCTACAGCGTAGCGGCGGTAGCGGCACGCTAACACTACAGAAAAAAGGGCCCGTTTTAGTGCCACTACGCTAACGCTAAGTGGCCCTTTAGCGTAGCGGCCCAGCGTTGACTGTAGCTCCGTCAGTTTCCATGCTGGCAAAACGTCTTCCCTGAGGGAAAGAAGCGCTTGCTTCCTGCGGATCTTTTGGTCACTGCCAAATTTCTATAGCTCATTGGGTTGCAATCTTATGTGGAATTCCATGTTTCTGTCATGTTTTTTGCTTGCTGAACCACTTGTCTGTATGGGACGCAGTGTTTGAGACTTGTCAAGCCTGTATTGGGTCCCCTTGGGTGAAAAAATCACATCTCAAATCCCAATTAAATCACCAGGAGACCTCAGGAAGCCAAGGGACCTGGACCTTCCTGAAGGGCAAGCCAAGGCGCTCATGATCATATCTATCTGGTCTGCAGGGGCCCTAGGGGCCCGGAGGAATGTTCATTTGGAAATATATCCCAGCAAAACTCCAAATTGCCTAGAGCGGGGCTTTTGGTATTAACTGTAAGTCCCTCCCTCCGGTTAGTGCAATGCAACCAGTGTCTCACCACTCCATCATGTAGGAGGGAGGGACTTTTTTAAGTTAGGGTAAAAGCTTAGCATTTATAATTTTGAACTCTACACATCTGTAGGAGTTCAAAATTGCAATAAAAATAAGTATTGGGGCATATTCCCTAACTTAACTAAGTCCCTCCCATTGGAGGGGGGACGCCGCCCCGCAGGGGCCCTCCAAAGAAGGGACTCATGCACAAGGCCAACCTGCCTGCTCAAGAGCATTACAAAAATTGGTGTTTTTTTATTCACTTTGCTGGGTTCATATTTTAACATTGGTGGATGAAGTCACCCACCAAACGGAGGGGCCTTTCCAGGAGATTTGATCTCTTGACTGAATGAGCTGGTGAGGGGACTCATTGCTAGCCCACTCAGCTTTTCATGACTGCATTGCTCTGAGGTCCTTTTGAGGTGTCTCCTGTACTTGGTGCCTCATCTGATGCACAAGACCTTACACAAGAATACTCTGGCTGGCCATCAATAGTAAATGGGGCATGAAACCACATATTATTGTGAATTCATCTCACTAGTGTCACAGATCCTAGAAACTCAAGAGCATACCGGAAGATAAAAAGGCCATCTTCCATGGACCCAAGAGACATGGAAAGAGTGATTGCCTATCATGCTGATGATCTGGCAACACCAGGAGGGTCTAGAAAGATAGAGACCAGTGAGGCAATCAAGAAAATAAAAAAAATTAGAGCATCTCCACTGCGGGCCCTATTTGCCTCCAATAGGGACTGAAAAGGTTGGATAGAGACCAAGTCTGTTTTTTTCCACCGCTAGTGAGTGTATCGGCCTTAAAGGCCGGCGAAAGCCGATCGGTCGGAGTGGTGGTGTGCTTGAGGATGTGTGAATCCTTCTGATGTCAGAAGGTTCACACAGCATAGGGCCAATCAACCAGGCCCTATCAAGTCTGTATACATACAGCTTGATAGAGACTTTTATAGGGGCCACAGTGGCTGTGGTTTTGGGCCTCACAATCCCTATATGTGGCATAGGGACCCGATACCATATAGGGCCCACGGTGGAGATTCTCTTAGGAAGATTCAATCATACAAAATGGAGTCGGGATGATTACAAGATTGTCCCCGCCAAATGTTTCTAATGCTTTCATAGCCCGTGGGGTTGCCTTTCCACGTAAGTCACTCCCTCCAGTCGGCACAATGCAACAAGTGGTTTACCACTACAAAAAAGGAGGGCAGGAACTTAGCTAAGTTAGGCATATGCCCCCCCCCCCAGACATAAGCCCTGTGTTTCAATTTTGAATTTTGCGGGTGGGGAAGGGTAGGATTTTGATGCCCACAACTGTACTGGCCTTGCTGAGTGATCATAGGTGAATTGGTGAAGGAGAGGCCTCCTTATATATGCTTTTCTGTGTTATTTTTGCTGGTGGTGATGCACTTGAGGCAAATTTGCTGGTTGTGACCTTGTGGATTGCACTGCCTCTTGAAAGGGGTACATACATTGAGCTGATGATGCTGTGGAGAAAATTTGAAAACTAATCATGGTATTTCTCCTTGTAAGGATTGCATGAGCTGGTGGCACTGCCTGGTGGGGGCTCCCTGTCCACTTGCATTTATACAAAGTCTGCATGGATCTGATTAAGTGACTAAGTGGAGGCCTTTTGGTTGGACATATGCATGCATCACTTGCATAACTGATCCGTACTACTAGTGGAGGCCTTCTGATGTGATAAAGTATGTTTATCTACCTATATATACAATGTTTTACTATAAAATACTAATTTATGGCTAGTTATGGTATGTTTTTAACCTTTCTAATGGATTATCTTCTAAACTAATAGAGAGAGGTGTGGTTGTAGTGAGTGAATATGGGTAAAATTGTATGTAGACTCTAATGATGAATAAGTGGTTTAAATTATGGGGGTTGGAAAAACACCTCCCAAGGATTTGCTGAAGACTCCCAAATACGGTCATTGGAAGTCCCTTAGGACACCAGGGGAAATTTCAGGGCACTGGCTTTCCAGTGACTGCAAATCACAAATAAGTCACCCTGGAAGATTTGAATTTTTTTGTAAAAATCACTAAAAGGATCATGATAGAAAATGGGACTCACAAGAAAGTCACTAGATTTTACCCAGAATTTACTACTAATTTCCCAGAAAAGAAAATGAATGTCCTCTAAAATTCCCTTTTGCTTACACCAGCTAGTTTCCCCCCAAAGATAAGGCTGCTGATTCAAATAAAAAAATAAAACCTGCTAATTGAATACAATTTTCATGGCCTCAGCAGTTTTTTTGGAACAAATGTTACAGATTTGATTCACAATCAGATCAAGGGAAGCTCTTATTTTTTTTGGTTTTGTAGCCCCTGTAGAAATACATTTAGAACATCACAGAAATTCAACCATATTCAAGTTTGTGATTTCTCTTTCTAAATTCATCAATAACAGATGCCAATTATATGTTTATCACACTAATAGTGTACACCTTAATCAGAATTATAAATCAGATTCAAATTTATATTGCAAATAATTCATTTTTTAGGGGGAAGGAATGAAGTGATTAATTTGATTTTGATCAATCACTCATTTTAAATAGTGTCATGACAAGTCCAAACCTGCTGGGTCAAGTAGCTATGTATACCTGGTATTCCCACTAAAAGATTGTGGAACAGTTGTTGGAATTGGGTGTGCACAGTGGGTGCAGGTGTTGGAATTAGGTGTGCACAGTGGGTGCAGGTGTTGGAATTAGGTGTGCACAGTGGGTGCAGGTGCTGTCAATACTCCAGATCGGGAGTGTTGTGATCAT